ATCAACAAAATTAGGATATACACGTCACAATTTCTGAACGGAATCGCCCGCTTGGCTGTGATGAATTGGACACAAGGGTGCAGTTTGGGCGTGGTGTTTTGACAACTGATCATTGCAGCGTGGAGAGCATACCTTGTATTATTTATTTTACTTTGACCTGCTTAGATTTACGTTAACCTCTGGCTGAAAGAAATAAACCTATGTTATACTTATAAGGTCTTTGTATGGTACATATACAACATACATATACAAAATATTTATCTTCATGATTAAGCCGTAATAGTTTTTGCATATTTAAGGTTTAAAAGTAAAACTAATTGCGTTATAATATATTTAAGCCTTGTATAAAATAATCATTTGATTAATTAGAATAGAGTTAGACATAATCAGTTGACCCAAAACAATTTATCACGTAAACATCATTAAGTAAACATTGATACGGGTAACTAAATAATTTATACATTTAACACAGTTTTCGTAAAATGTTTTCAAGCAATAGATAAGTTTAATTATAACAACTTACTTTAGTATTATTAAGCTTAATCGATGATGAAAAGTTTGTTACCATAATATTTTTCCAACATGTTGATAAATGCAAATATTGTAAAGACTAAAGTTCTACCTTGCTTTGATCTTGGCTGTAAAATTGATAACATTTAAATGTGTTTTTCGTACCTTAATTTTACCATGATTAATATATATTTATAGTTATGGCTTTACTGAATATTTTTTGTTAATTTGAATATTGAATATTTTTGTTAATTGTAACGATTACTCGTATAATGGTATCTTGCGATTCTAGGAGCACAACAGATAAGTTCGATAATTCCCGATCTGTAGTTGATAAAGAGGGATAAAAAATATAAAAAATTGATAAAAAATATTAAAATTTTCTAAACGCGTCTGCCTTTTTTATTTCCTTTTAATTTGTTTCCTTTTTCAAAACTATTTTTGATATTTCCTTTTGTTTCTATTATTCGAATATTGGGAAATTGATAAGCGAACGAATACATATTGATAATTAGTTGTATTATTAAATATTATGTGTTGCATATCTCGTACCCAGAGGTTTGGGTTAATTTTCTTTAGAAGATGATGTCCTAATTATTTGATTGTCAAAAATTATTTCTCTTTGAACTAATTATGTATGTTTAACATTACCATACATAATATAATAGGCAAACCTAATACAATGAAAATGAAATAATCACAATCATCATTATCATCTTCCCTTGGTCTTATATTATAGATAAGTATAATAGATGATGAGGTTGGCACAACATTTAGACATGTTATCAGAAGCATTGGCTTCGAGAACAAACACCCAGATCCGAAACAATAATTATCGGTGGGTAACAGAAATACTTATCTTATGTGGAAAGCGAATCCCTGGAACCGAAGTCAATACCTTAGCAAATGCGCCATCGAGTCTTTATAAAAATTCAACAATATTGCCCGCAATTCTTTCGAAGTTTCAATGGAGGGAGCTTACATTTAAAAATTATGACAAAAGATTAAGCAATCTGCAATATTTGTTTTGGGCATGGCATATATATGAAAAGACAGTAATCTTACAACAGCCAAGCTATACATTTTTTGCCTAATTGATAAAAATGTGTAAAAATTTACGTAAAACATTTATTTATTTCATTTCTGTGCAGAAATAAGCAAAAGAAAAGTTCATAATACAATACAAAATTGCCTATGACTTTGGCAAATATACCTACATCAGGTCATTTATGGTGCAAGGGGCGCGACTCTGGAACGACTTACCACTAGAAGTAATGCGTGCTCAGTCATTAAATATTTTCAAGAATCTTGTAAAAAATAATTACTTATCTTTGTAATGTTATTTCCTAACAATGATATATATATTTGTATATATGGTATGTATATATTTATAAGTATATATTGAAGTGTATATGTATGTATATGTGTATTTATATGTATATATTTTGTTAGCCTTTTGTATACACATTTATTTATTTACTTACATATTTATAAATATCTTATTATTATGAATTATGATTGTAGATAAGTATTTTTTTTTCATTCATTTAGTTAAACCACACCTTTATTCCTAAATTATTTCTTTTTAGTCCATCCAAAGGTTACCTGGAAGAAATTACTCTTAGTAATAAGGCCGCCCATTGTACCCATCACTAATAAGTTTTAATTTTTATTTGTTTTATTTTTGGTGTGCAATAAAATATATTCATTCATTCATTCATTCATTCATACATCATATAATTCATGTATTCCCCGTATAGTTTTAGTCCATAATCACTTTTATATATTTTACACATAACAAGAGATAGCTTGATTATTCTACATAAAAATATTATAGGTTCCTGCTGCGTAAATAGGCAATTCATAGAATAGGCAAATAAATTATTAAAACTCTTGAAATGGCGTTTTATTAACTATGACGTAAAATACTCCAGTCTGTTCCGTGAGGGGTGACCACGGACTACTGCAATGGTTCTAAACGTCGGGTACGAAAACCGAACGCGATAAAATCCATGTAACATGTAACATTTATGTAACATAGACCCAGATGCCTAATCGTCGCCTTAGCGTTAATTAAAGCAACAACAATGAATTAGCGCGGTCTCTGCATCACTGCTCTGATGCCGCAGCTAATTCGTCCGCTGAATGGCGCGCCCCAATTCTTTTATGGAAGTGCGGGTGCACGCGGGTTCGCGTATTAATTGTTCCGCGTAGCGTCCGCCCGATGAGTCGATCTGCATACTGTATGAGACAGCGGCAAAACAATAATTAAAGCCGTCGACTGAGCTTTGCATGACGTAAAGAGAGGCTCTGATTGGCAGACCTCATTTTCCTTCAAAATATTTTTAGATGACTGTTTAGAGGTTGTTAGAAGTGGTCGCAACTTTCAGTAATGGGTAATCTACACAAGGAGCAATATTTAAATGCAGTAGAATTGGAATGGGATATTTGGGCCACGTTTCTGGTGTAAGCGATCTCACTAGACTCAAATGATTTGCCAAATATCATAAATATATATAATAAATATAAGTAAAGAAAGTAGAGTCAAAAAGATACGTATTTATCTACACACAATGGTAATGACAGATTTCATTCAAGACATATTTATGTGACATATTTGTTAGGCCAGCATATATTATAATTACTATCTGACAGGTCGTTGATAACTTCATTAAACGAGCGCCGAATGCCCACCAGGATTCTAATTTAATTTATGAGATTAATTTAGGCACAATATGATAATATCATGTTTGATGTAGTGTAATTGCATAACGGTCATAAGCGTGGGGAAGTTGTTGTAGATAGTGATGGCTACTTAAGGTGTACTCACCTGTGTCTTCCGGTGAGTCCTGAGCCGCGGCCCGTAAAGGACGTCACTCTACCGTGAAAAGCCGTTACGAGCAACGTAACTTCTTTATAAACGCTTTCTTTAATTTACTGGCCAACTCAACGTTACAGAGAAATTGCGTCACTCCATAAGTGAAGATTAATTTTGGCTGTGATGTAGTAGATTTGTGTAGATTAAAAGAATTTGATAGCAGTAGTTCAAGTTTTGTTAATGTCAGGACTATTTGTCTGACTAAGTCAGCATTTAAAATTGAAAGTACCCGGAGGACCGAGCTTTGCTCGGTTTTTTTTTTGGTAAATCGTGTATTTTGGAAATTACATTTAGATACAAATTACTGAGTAATGAAATATGCATAATATTATTCGATGTTACCGACGTAATAATAAGAAAATATGAACTGATGTTTTTCACAAAAGAAAGGGAAAAAAATAACAAAGTAACAAATCAACAAAAAATTAAAAATAAAGAAAGCAATGATCTGGAATCGAAAAAAAAGTTAAAAAATAAATGTGTAAATGATCGTGATGCGAACCACGGCCGTCTGTTTTGGGGCCGCCCGATTACCGACCGAGCTATTTTGACATTTTCTCTTGCGGGGAATTTTACCGTCATATTCGAATTATATTTTTCATTCCCTGAAAACAGGGATAAAAGGAAATTTTCTAAAAATGAAACCTAGGTAGATCGATTATGCACATACTAAATTTCATGAAAATCGCTGGAGCCATTTCCGAGATTCCGATTATATATATATATATACAAGAATTGCTCGTTTAAAGGATAAGATTAACAATTTCATTGGTGCCAGGATTTAAACGCAGTTAATATAAGTCGATTCGCTGACTAGGTACTTTTCTAAAACTACCATATATAGCCTATTTTTTTATTTATACATCATCATTATATAAAATTATGTATACATAATCTGGGTCATAAGAAGAGAAGCACCGTTTTTTATACGGAACATTTTTTCCGTCCCTTAAAACACGGCAGATAAAAACAATTTTCAAAAAACAGCAGCACTCGAGTTCCAAAGCAAAGGGACTCTATGTGAATGTTTAGACGAAGTTTCAAGAGGAACATGTGTGAGATATAAACACGTACCTACGCAAAACTTACTGTTGCCCGCAAATGATTCACAACGAGAACATAAAACAAAAGTGGGCTACGTAGGTACATGCAAAAGATGTTGCTCCAATTTTTACTCTTTAATTAATACACTTTTAGCTGTGTTGATGCCGATCAGTTATTTATAAGTTTTGTTTTAAACTAATTAATAATTGTATGTACTGTTTCATTGTGGGTGCACCGTGTTTGACATCCCTTCTGCCACTGCAAGATTATTTCGCCTTCACCTATACCTATTACAGATATTGTTGACGATACCAATATAGTGTATTGTTACTTTTTTGTTTTGTCTGATGAGATATCCGTAGAATAGCCCTTTTGGCATAATACCTGCAAACGCACTATTTTGGCGGGTGTCTATAGCGGTTATCTTGGCACCGTCACTTTTCCCTTTTGCCACAAGTATAATATTAACTCTACCTAATCCACTTTGTGGCTATCGTTCACAAATCGTGGTTTACTGAGTAGAGAAATTACTGACACGCTCTATTCATTTGTATTTTTCTATATACAGTGTACATTGGGATGCAGCTTATGGCAGCAAGGACTGAAGAACTCTTGCCAGACTATCTGCGTAAGTAATTTACCGAAATTCTTGAAGATCTCTCTTATGATCTTGATTTTACTTGTAATCTATTTATTCACAGAATGTAACATCGGAAACTGTATTTTCCCGGGAACTGTATTGTGTGATGGGATGTAATGAGGCTCTCAATACCTACTTCCAAAAAATAAGAGGTAAGTTTTGCATTATTTTAATTGTAGGCGTTTATTTTTTGGTAGCTTTAATATTTGCCTTTCTTTGTATATAGAGTTGATTGGAATACCTACCGCGCCAGCGCTCGTCGCGGACAGTCTGACTGCAACATCACTTTCACTGGTTTGGGAGGCGCCCTATCTTGGTATCCTGAGCTACCTGGTGCAATGGCGATACGAAGAATTGCCTGGCAGCTGGCAATACTATTCAAACACAAGCCACTTCGACCGCTCTATTATACACGTTGACAATCTACGTCCATACACAAAATACCGAGTATGTATTGTTTTGATGAATTGCTATTAACCTTATCAATACCAGTAACGAATCAATTAAAATTGTAACCTTTGTAACAATCAGATCTACTTCAGATCAGATCTACTTTAACATGCAAAGCCGAATAATATTTAAACAGTTACTATTTAACAGTTTAGTTTTGATTTACTTTTCTGCTAAGGAAGTTCTATATAAAGAGGCTTACGGTAATTACATATGAACAGCAATAAATATTCTGTTTTATCAAATACGAAATGTAGTGCAGTCACTAATACTAAATATCATGCTCAAAATATAGAGGTTCTTGAAGTTTAATACGCAGTCTGTCTGTTTCGGACGTTAGTAAGAAATTAATATCATAAATATGCGTATATTTGACTGTATGTTCAGTTCCGAGTGGCGATCTTCTTATCCGGTCGAGTCGGGGCCGGCGAGCCGGTATATTCGGCCCCCTCGGTGGTCATATCGACGTTGGAGAGCGGCAAGCCTAGTTCCGCGCCCGCGGCTTTGCGCGCCGCGGCGCCCGATCCCAGCAGGGTGGCCATCTCCTGGGAGCCGGGGCCTTTTCCCAACGGCCCGCTGATATCGTACGTGCTGCGGCTCGCCGACACGCAGCCCAACACTAACGATGCTTTGGAGGCAAGTGCAGGGCATAGTTTTGAGTTTGATTTGTTATATCCATATATACATTCATATGTGTGTCTGTCCTCTTTGTGTGAAAGGCGTTGGTAGCGACTAGATATCCAAGTTCCCGCTATTTTTAAACGTTTTCAACGCGTCTAAAAGCCCTCAGGTGTTTTAGATGTCCATGCCGGGTGTACTCGCTTAACATCAGATCAACCGCATACTCGCTTGCCAACTTATTACATAAAAATATACTCTTGTTAATGTCATTAGTAAATAACGGGACACTTATACAATTAAATATTTTGGAATTGTGTTCGGTATTTACCCGAACCGTAGAGTACTTAAAAGAAGGTAACCTTTGAATTGGGAAAAAAAAAAAATGTGTATATAATTTTAAATGTCTAATCTGAAGTAATAAGAGATAATCAATGACTTATTGACAATAAGTAGATAGTGTCAATAATGTTGATGGGTATTACATAGATTTTACGACTGTCATGTTTCTTGCAGGATATGCCAGCTTCGAACAACACCCTGTTCTATATGTTCCAAAATCTGGCGCCAGCTCGAGAGTATGAGGTGTCGGTTGCAATGCGCAACTCTGTAGGTGAAGGGCCGAGAGCTTACGTCAGGATCTCTACGCCGCCCCTGCCCAAATGTGAGTTAAATGGCGTAAGAGTTTATAAACATCGGTACATGTTTTTACTAAAAAACGTAACGATAACGTAAAATACTACACTAAAGTATTAGAAATTGTCTGTTGATTCTAACCATCTCGCGACTTACACTGAAACCTTTCTCTAAGAGATTAATTACAGATTAAATATCCATAGTAATGTATTTGCTCTATTAATCTGTGCCATTAAAGTTTAATAACCTCTGCTTGAAAAAATTTAGAACTGATCAACGTGTACTCAAAAATTTAGAGTTCTTTACGTAAAGATAAACGAATGTTGTCTGCTAATTCTTTTCAGCCGTTTCCAATCAGCAGCCCATTTTAATTCTGGGCGGTGAGCACAATATACTAGCGGCCCCCGCCAACGATATTCTTTCTGACCCAATAGAGTTGTACAGTACGGAGCAAATTATAACAGGTACTCATGTCATACAGTATAACTAATTACAAATCTCTATATTATATTCTTTCACAAAGGTATTTTTATATAGGTACACAATAACTTCCATAATTTAATGATTCAAACATTAATATATATCTTATGCTTAAACATTAATAAAAAGTCAATGTGTTCATTAAAAAAAACATCCATTTAAAAACTTTTTATAAAGAATGAATGTTAATGCCATCTATTGACAATTTGTATATATAAAATATAGGGAAGCAATCTGAAAAATGTTCATTGATGAATACTTATTTACGCATTATTATATCACCATTCGGTGATTCATCTAAGTATTGTGCGACAATTTCGCAGGGTTCAACGAACGGCAATATATATTTTTTTAAGCATATCTACACCATAAGTTTGAATTATGTCATTTTTACATTATGCGTTATAAACTTACATTTATTATTAAAGCTGATGGATTAGTAACTAAATTTAATAAAAAAATTATATGTATTTACAGGTGTCTTTAAGCTAATGGATTAGTTACGAAATCTATTAAAAATTAATATCCTTACAGGTGTCGGATTGGACATGTCTAGTGATTCATTGTTTGTGTCCGTATCAAGCGGTTACGTGTACCGAAGTTCTTTGTCAAAGAAGAGCATTCCCCAAGCGATCCTTTCGCCTGAGCATACACTGTACAAACCTCTAGACCTCTCGGTGGATTGGCTGAACCGACATCTGTATGTACTGGGTGAAGTTTTCTACGACAGAGCACAATCCAGCCGGTCGAACACCTCGTTGTATTCAAATTGGGAGATAATCCGTTGCGATTTCGATGGGAAGAATCAAATAGTCGCCCTGTCAGGGTTCAATTCTCGACCCATACATTTCGAGGTTGATGCTTATAACGGGTGAGTTTTACATTTTTGGCTTTCATAGTCATTATAATTTAGCTATCATTTGATTTTTAAAAAACTTCAGGAAAAAGTTTTGTCTTAAAAATTTTAAATTTAAATCAGTTTTGGAAAGTCAGTATTTCAAAATAGATATTGATAATTTGCTGTCCCAATTTTGGATAGCCATGTCTTTTCTTAAATGGGTAACATTTTGCTTTCCTTTTTTATATCATAATACAAATGATTATATCTTACATGTTGTCACCAACGTGCCACTGAAGCGGGTATTCTAAATTCCAATGATCGTCAACTTGTAAACAGAGAATACCCCAACTTGTAAACGCATAGAGCTAGTGTACGCTTTGCTAACTCACCGGTTCGATGAAGCTTCAATAGTCTCATCATCTCAGAAAGCGTAACATTAGTTATACTAAATACAAAAAAAATTACGCTTTGTTTTACCCTGCTCTCGGAATTGGCCAAACTACGGGCTTAACTTACCTACAATAACGGTCGTCAGTGAGATTAACCAACAGTTACCATTAACTGACGTTAAAATTATTTCTTTTGCGAATGTCATTCACACACGACAAAGAGACAAATTTTAAAAGCACTTGACGCCTTAGAGTGCTGCCGGAAATATATTACATGTATATATAAATATAATTGACGATCGGGACCCCCGTTAGGTCCGGTGACCGTCTGGCCCCTTCCTCAACCGGGTCGATGAGAACGTTTTGCGGCGACGTCTGCGAACCGTTTCGTTTGGATCCGGTTGGTAATTGCTGCTTCTCCTTCATAGCGGTCGGATCTTGAAATTGATCTTCGTTCTATTATCCATTATCTCAGCTGGATATGGATGTTGTTAATGGATTAGGCTGGGTGTATTGCAACAGGCCGCTTGCCTGACGTCAACTGTTCTTGGGAACAAACACCCAGATTCAGAATAATTATCTGTGGGTCACACAAATATTTGTCCCGTGTGGGAATCGAACTCACGACCCCCGGCGTCAAAGCTAATGGTTTACCACCACCGAGTCTTCTAACACATAGCCACTTAAATAACCGATCTTTAAATATCAATGCCATTCGCCGTTGCATTTTTACCGCTTAGCGCTCGTGGCCATGCCAATTAAACTATTTTGGACCACCTGAACTTTATTGGAGAGTGAGAGAGAAAATATAGAAGGATAAGATAGGTGAATCTCGCGCAAGTTTGTCATCAGGCCTATCTTAGATCATGCCAAAGTGCCGTCAGATAAAACTACAAGCATGATGTCCCATTACACATTAAATATTTATTATAATGTTGGAAACATTTTCAATAATTTATTTAAGAGAGGACCCGTGAAATTTAATGTTACAAAGTAATCGGAATTTATATTTCAAATGCAAAGATCTAAATATGTAAAAGTAGTTAGTAGATTTATTAACATGTTGTGCTCACGTAAATATAAGACATCGTCAAATTCTCTATAAAACCGTCTTTCTATTCAGTTATTTGTTCTGGGCGTTGCGTGGCGTGGAGCGTGGTGGACTGTACCGGTTGGACTTGGCCAACATCTCGAACGGCGTTCGCCACGACTCGCCTCCCGAACTGATTGTGAGAGACGCCCACCTGGGAGCTTTTACAGTGGACCACGCTGACTTCCGACTGCTCGTAGCGCACCTGAGAAGGAACACGGTCCTAGCCGTTTCATTGGACGGGTTTGTACATCCAAATCGTCGATGCTTGATTCTTTTGATTGATTCATTGATTAGAGTAATTTTTAAAGCCTTTTTTCTGCTCATTGCTACACTTCATTACTATACGCGGTATAGAGAAAGTCGTCGATACCAGATTTGTTTTCTTAGCTAGCCATAAAAGTACGTTAACTTTCGATGCTCCAGGCGGGAAGTAACAGACTTCAGGACGAACACCCAAACACCGATGTTCTCGTCAGTGAGGTCGATCGCTTACGCCGGCGGTCTGTTCTATTGGACGAACGGCAGGGAAATGTTGATCGAGGAGTACCACGCAAAGAGCGACAGCTACTTCCACAACGAGTACCCGTTGGCGTACAACACCAAGTTGATAGCGACCAGCCACGTGTTGGTGGCGTTGAGGAGTTGTCAGCCGATACCGGTCCCGGTGAATCCGCCATTGGGCGTGCAAAGTGTGATGGGAATAAGCCGCGCCAAGGTGTCCTGGTCCCCACCGCACCTATTGGGCCACCAGGGTAGCGGAGCGTGGCAGCAGTGGACTTTCCACCTTCAGCTGACGCATATGGATAGTGGGCATACGATTGATGTGTAAGTTGATATTAACAATTGTTAGGTAATGTTAAGAAAGGCTCAAGATTTGATTTAATGTTTTTCGTACCTTTGATGTATACCTTAAAAGTGAGTTCTAGTATCTCGAGCATCTCTGTTACACCATTATAGAGACGATACGATTGGCGTAGTGGATGGTGGAACTGTCTCTTGCGGCAGAGGGTTCGATCCCAACTATTAGAAAAATTTTCTGTTTTTAGTGTGGGTCTTTACATATCTATTAGATAAAAAAAATATAAATAAATACATATTATAGTTATGTATGTTTTATGTTTATCAGTTATCTAGTATCCATAGTACCTCTGCGGTTTCCTTCATTTGGGCCTTGTTACTTTGTGTAAAAATATGCCCTGAAATATTTATTATTATGATTTACTATACAGGTAGAGATGTAATAAATTTTAAAAGGGGAAATTTTTAATAGACAGATTCAATTGATACTCACTTATTTGAAATATGAAACAAAAGTTAGCAATGGTCGTTCATTGCTAGCATCAGTTTTATTATAGTAACTATTCGTAAAGAGTACTCGATACTCTCCCAAAGTGACTTAATATTGACTGAGGTGTGTGCTTTTCTTATAGAAAGAACATTAATGAATCAATGTTCGTGGTACAAAATTTAGAGCAAGATGCTGAGTACGTAATCAAAGTTGCAGCTCGAACTGAATCGGGATCAGGTGAATATATTTTATCTTCATATTTTTCTAATATACAAATATATGTATTACATATTCATCCTCCCAATTGTAGGTCCCTGGTCTTCCGAGTTTGTCGGCAAAACTTTAGCGTCGACGCCCACAACGTTACATAGCACGCTACTGTGGTCCGGTCCGGATGGGTTATTGCAGACAGATTTGACCGGTGAAAACTTACAAACTATCATTCACAGGTGGGATATGCCATGGTACACTTTATTTTTTTTACATGAGAAGGTGGCGAACGCCTGAGTGTGCAGCCAGAATTATATGTTATTTATTTATCATTGTGAGAAGGTGGCGTATAAGCAATTGGTGCTTCGGATGTTAAGTGATTAACGCTACCCAAGGATATCTACACCACGAGTTGTATTTATTTATTTTTATTTTATTTTAAGTTGGCAAGCGTGCAGGTGGTTCACTTGATGTTGAGTGATTACCGCCGCCCATGGACGTCTTCAACATCTGACGGTTTGCAGATGCGTTGCCAACCATTGAAAAGTGGGCCCCGTCTACCTCACTCACGTGATGAAACCCGACTGTACAACACTTCCACTACACGGTGGTTTTCTGTGAGGCTGTAGTACTTCCCGAAATGAGCCTGTCCAATTTGTCCTACAGCCGAAATTAATGACGGCTAACATAGTAAAATTATATTCTTGCATACAATGACGAACATTGTATGGACAGTATAAATACAGTAATCAATTTAAGATATAGACTTCAACAATAACTAAACCTTAATAATCACTGTTTGTTTCGAATCTAAAGGTATCGTTTGACTATTCAAATATTTTAGCAGATTCGAGAAGTCGTTTGTTTGTTGTTGTTGTTTCGTGTTTTTGTCTCCTTTTAAACTCAAGGCCGATACTAAATATTAATACAAATAAAAATAATAAATACCAATACTAAATATTGTTCAATCATTAAAAATAACACGCACTCACAGGTCGCACATGAAGAACTTCTACATCACCGACATCTCTTGGTATCGTGACAAGCTGTATTTGGTGACGAACGCCTCCACAGTGATATGGTACAACACGACGTCGTACGAGAAAGGTATCATGCCGAATATGGAAAACGTGGGCAGTTTAGCCGTGGATTGGGTGGGAAAGAAGATATACTGGTCCAATCCCAAACAGCAATTGGTGAGTATCTGTTCACGAATTATTTACTTAAGTAATATAGGGCGCGCAAACATTTATGTTTCGTTCAGTTCATTGCGCAGTACAGTCTATTAGTATCAAAGCAGTTGCAGTGCTGCGGGTGAGTGTTGCCTTTTCGTTCGCTTCGCCCATATCGCCTTCTGTTTTGCTCTAATACTTAATGAATAGTTGCGAACATCGTTGTGATTCGTTTACTATTAAGCCATATATGACTCAATTTTTCCATTCGACGGTACATGCACACAAATCGAGGACCCAACACTCTCGTGCTTTCGTATTTTCTACGCGCTTAGTTTCGCTCGGCGTACACTTCACGAGAACTGAGTTAAACGTAATTCCCAGATAACACGTGGAAATTTCGATGGTGGGAATCGTGAACCGGTCCCAATAGTCACAGTGGCGAAGGAGATAACGATAGATTCATTGGGCGCATACATTTACTGGAACACTGGCCACGCCGTTGAAGCGGCAAGACTGAATGGCGAGAACAAAATTATCTACTACCCCGCACAGTTGTTCAGCGGGAAACAAGGTATGGAATTAACGTAGTAACGTCCGCAACCAGATATGTCAATAACACCATTATATAGCATTTGTCAAAAAATCTTTGCGATCGAGCTTCTTTGCCAGAAATGATCAATTTAGGAAAGTTCGAAAAGATCTATTAATGATTATTATTAATATAAAATTGGTAGGTAGTAAGTAAGCAGGTAAAAAAATGCTGGATTTCCATTAAACACTATTTTCATTTCAAAGCAATATCAGATAACAAATTGTAATGTAAGTACACTCATACTTTTGCGTACATACAGGGTGGCTTTTCTAAGTGTATCCACTTTTTGAAATTAAATTCTAGACATAAATAACGTTATATAAAAATGATAAATATTTAAAATCACTCGTAAGTAATTAAATACATTCATTTGAGCTTATCTCAAAAAGTGCGTGATTTATGCGCAACGCATTTATTTTACGCGCGATCATTCATAACTAACACACACAAGTTCGTGCACAGTAAAATTTAGGTATTTATGAATGACTACCACATTGTCAACACGTCCTGTTTTTTAGGAAATAGATTGGTATTTTTTTTTGGAAAAAAACACTTTATTTTTTATTTCAATAAACGATTATACTACAGAGTCTGAACCTTCTGTGTAAATTTGGGCACTTCTCAAAAAATCTCCCTGTATGCACGTAAGAAAATGAAAGAAATTCTTTAGCCGTATAGACATTAAAAATGCAATTGATAACAGTTTATTAAAATAATTTGTAAGTTTTGGTATTATTATTTGTAGTTGTTATTGTTTACCAAGATTGAATTGGTCACCAAGCATCATGTCGCTCGTAGCAACAGCTGAGAGTAGTTGTAAAGTTAAATTAGTGAATACCGACAGACATACAGTAATTAATAATCCAAAGACTTAAGTGGTATAGACGGCATTGTTTCTATTTTTGTTTTATATACGAGAATGTGTGAACTATTTAGTGTTTCACAAATTGGTACTTTTACAGTGATGGGCCTAACGACGGATTTGGAAAAGAAATGGTTATACTGGTTGGTCAGAAGTTACGACGGCTCGGAGCTACATAGGGCGCCGACGGCCGATAAAATATCAACTGGTATTACTGAGGTACCTACATTTCATTTTAGACTTAGTTGAATGCACAGAGAATAGATCACCGGAGATACTTGGGAAACTTCTGAAATTCAATTATAAAATAAATACAGAGCGAGATATTTGTAGTCGATTTTGTTTTTAGTTGGTAAAATAATGGTTATTTTACTTTTTATATAATAATGTTGCCTTTGTCTCAGGTATCGGGTTCGTTAGTGACGCGTCTGGATGGTACTGCAACGCTTGGGCCCCTCTGCTACTTCAGCGGGCGGCTGGTGTGGGTGCAAGATGCTTCCCGGGCGGTCGTCTCCGACTTAGCTGGCAAATATACGGCGGAGCTGGTGCCGAGGGTGCACGTCATCGCTGTCAGGGATCCATTGCTGCACGCCGACAGTGGTATGGATTTCTATATTTTAGTCCAGTTTAAATTTAATAACTAAGCATTTTGTTGCCACAAATTAGTCTAAAGAATAAAAATAAAAATAGAGTACCATTATATGAATTCCCATGCAAGCTCATTGTCCGGGCGCTCGGTTTTAATTAAATATACTCGAGCAACCTGAATTCGATTCTGGTGCCGGCACCAATGAATTTATATTTTTTAAGTGCCGACTTATCACGTGCTCATCGGTGAAGGAAAACATCGTGAGGAAACGTGCGTATTTTCGAAATAATAATAATAAAAAAAGTGTTTCGAAGATTTATGTGAAGTCCGCCAATCCACAGTGGGGTCGCGTGGTGGACTACGCCCAAGAAACGCCTTTGCCTAGAAAAGGGATATACATAAGCGGTTAGTTTACTTTTATCGAAAGTAACGTTGTGTTTTACTTCTACAGAATCTGTAATAGCCATCCCGGAGATGATCAATGCGTCTTCGATTGCGGTCGTGGGCACGTGGGAGCATTTCAACGTGACTTGGGCGCCAGCTCAACGCGTCAACGTGAAAAACGGCCGTGTCTATTATGACGTCAGTTTGCAGTTCGATGGACAGTTTAAGGTTGAGGTGAGGTTTATTAATCGACGCAAGTCCTTGTTGATTATATCCAAGTTTGGAAATGGGATCTTTGAAATAGGTAGGGTAAAACAGCTTGGTTTTTTTCAATCTCATATTTTTATCTCAATTTTTAGCTGAGATGATATCTCTATTTCTACTTTTGGCTATTTGGTCTACTTGGCTATTTGAATTTGTGTTCACATTTTTTTTTCTCATATCAATGAGAGTGAAAATATTAAATTTACACCACCAACGCTACCTCGAACATCCAAGTTTTATCATAATTTGTCATGTCTGTAGAATAATACGGTTCAAAACCTCAAAACTACCCACCAAAACATCACACACAAAATAATTCGCACTCAAAATAACACCCATCGTACGCCTGGATAGCGTCCTAACAGAACTACCCACCAAATATACAGCAGTCGTGTTCTTTCCTTAGAGGACGGTGGACGTTCCGTGGGTGGAGGTGAGCGAACGCTCCCCGATGCCGTACAGCAGTATGGAGGTGACGGTGCGTGCGCACACGCACTGGGGCGGGGGGGCGGCGGCACGGACTCGCATCCACTCGCCCCAAGCGGCACCCGCCGCGCCCCGCGCACCAGCCCTCTACGTTCAACGCGCGCACAGGTGAGGGAGGGGAAACACATAGTGGTAGCAAACACAACCGAATAGTTCTTCCTCGCTTACTAGTGCGGCGCACTCAACGCGTACTAAAGGCACACCCAGTGGCGGATTTGCCCTAAGGCCCAATAGACCTGGCCCTAGGGCGGCCACGTATTAGGGGCGGCTTTTTTGGCCTGACAAAAAATTCACTGATGACAACAAGATATATGATTGGCGCTGAGAAAAGGGCGGCTGGAACTTACTACATAGGCCCCAGTCTAGGGCGGCCAAGACTACAAATCTGCCACTGGGCACAGCCTGGAGGGTGATAATCACTGCCCCCATCTATCGTGGGCACTGAATGCCCTATCAGTATTTGCTGTGTAAGGGGTTGGGTAAGTCTAATAGGTATTCTACTTCAACCCAGTGAATAAAGGTTTACTTAGTCCCTGCAACTGAAAACCTAATGCATTTAACGATATCAAACCCTAATTATGAGTTTTAACCATTCAGCGGTGGGCCATTGGCTGCGGTGTTCCGATGGAAAGCTCCTTCGCTTGCGAACGGAGTCATCCGCGGTTACGAAGCTCAGTGTTGGTCACTGCCCGTCTCCTCCCCCACAACCGTCCCGGCTGCCAAGCCGTCGGCCTGTCCGAACGCAATGTTGTCCCCGCTCCACACCCAACTCATGTTAAGAGACCTTATGCCGGACTCCACATACTATTTCCGGGTAAGGTTTACATTTATCAATAAGTATTAAGTAAGTATTATGCGTCCAAGCTTTGCTCCGTGTTTGCGCTGGCTTGTTTCAAATAAATTATGTGTTTTCGGTAACGTTACTGACATCATATTTGTGCAAGGTGTAAGGGCTCAAGTCCAATAGGAATAATACATGTACTTCAAAATTTTTACTAGGAAAAACGCTACCGTTTCGTAATGAAAAAAGATTGTTTAAACTTGCGTGGTAAAATTATATGTAAGTGTTTTATGTATGTTTATGTAATTATATGTATGTATAAATTTATTGAGCAAAAACTTTAATTTTTTTTAATTTAGCTAATACAACTTTTTATCCAATACAATAGTCATTTGCGAGATAAGCAATATGTATTATATACACAACAATAATAAGGCATTTAGGGGATTCCACACTAACAACCTTGGGAAACAATGCAAAAATCTTCATAGTCTTAGCAGTTTTGGTTTTTATGCCGTAATTTTGTTAAACGATGCTGTACAGTCAAGATTGAATATTGGCGAAAAGAAATATAATACCATCTTTGTTCAAAATCATCGCTTTGTAGCATTTGACATTAACCTTGCTCTATTTATAAGGACGACTTGATTAAAATATGTTCTATTCCTTAGGTTAGAGCTTACACTGACGCCGGTTTCGGGCCTTACTCAACGGTAGTTTCGTCCCCGTCGGATGAAATAAACCCCATACCGAAAGTAATGCTCTCGTCACAAGAATCGATAAGAATCTTCGACTTGGACTCCGGCGAGAGTGAAATTATACCGAAGAGCACCGGCAAGCCCGTTGACTTCGTAGTATCGACGGAGGAGAATATTGTGTACTGGGTGAACAATTTAGAAGAGATATTCTCTTCCAGAATCAACGGTAGCGGTCACTACAAGGTGACTTAAAGTTTATTAGACTACTTATATTCAGCACTTTTAGTCTTCTGTTCTTTTATTGGTCTTCTTAAAAAAATTATTTATTGTAGTATTTATAAAACGTGGGGACTTGTAATTTCTCCTTCTTCTTCCTTCCTTTATGGCGACTTTTAATGTCGAATCTGATTTCAGCTGACTTCCATCAATGGAACAGCGACAAGTATTTGCGTGGATTGGATAAGTCGTTCCGTGTACTGGACGCAACACGAACTCACCGCCACCGAATCCTACGTCACTTACCGCGCGAATCTGGGGATACCCAACACGAGGCCGAAGATCTCAAGAGTTTTTGCGAGAAAGCAACCCACATATAGTCTACAGGTGGCACCATTGCATAGGTGAGAAATGATTGTTTATAATAATAACTAAACTAAACACACTAAATAATACGTTATCTACCTACGTGAAGCGAAAACTTCGGATCCGTTTTTAGTAATGTTTAGGAATTTTGCGCACACGGAGGAGTGTTTACATAGAGGAGTACAAAAAGATAAAATCACAATAGTACACAACTGAGTTGAAATAAATTAAATAACATAAAGCATTCATTGTTTACGTTCATATTTATTTCATTTTTTCATTTTACTAACTTATTCAAATTAGGTTTTCACATTCATTCACAGTTCATTTATTCACATTATAAAACATACTAATAATATACAAGTACATACCAATTTATGATCAAATAATCGTTACATGCGAAAATTATCGCCTAAGAATTTAAAAATATTTAATCAATGAGATATTATTAATTTAAAATTAAATAAAATTAAATATAATTTAAAAATTAAAAAAATATTACATCAATGAGATATTTAATCAATGAGAAAATATAATCTTAATTTCAGTTCTAGATATTCTTGGGTGTCATTTTATTTAAAATAAATACGGGTATCTTGTTACTTTTTTACATTCGTACACCAACCACAAAATTATTGCTGTTGTTTATTGTTCTATATGATATTTCTTTATTTTACTATAAGGTCATTATATTGGTACGAGGAGAGTAACCACCAAGGATTGGGCACACTCATGACATCAGAGGTCAATGGGTCAAACATCCGAACATTCTTTTCCAATCACGAGGAAAATCCCAAATCACACAGCGACTGCAACTGCCCAGAGAACCCTCAAGTGGCGAGAACCTTCATTCTAGATATGACTCGAGACAACATCGAATTGTATTGGGTCGACCCTTGGGTGCATCAGATCGTCGCGGCAGACATTGAGGGGTGCAAGTGCAGAGTCGTTGTGGACGCAGCGAAGAAGAAATACGGCTTCAATCCCATGTCCGTAACCGTAGACAGCAAATACGTGTACTGGTTCAATTCAACAGAGAAATCGATATATTACACTAACAAGGTCAAGAGGAGCGATATCCAACACGCGAAAGCCGCGTACGGCTACAAAATTGTGACGTTGGATCCGGCCAACCAGCCGTATCCGCCGCGGCAGTGCTTGTATCCGAAAGCGGGGAACCTCCATCCAAAAGTGATAAGCAACTCGGCCAACAGCATCACTTTGCAAATGCCCAAAGTCGGCAAGCCCGCCTACTGCCACGACATCCATTACGAAATGACGGCAACGGAGTATACAGTTTACTATCGCTTGCAAACCTCAAACGACACGACCGCCTGTGACAAAGAAACGTGCCCATATAAGACCACTACTGACGCGGAGCTAGTTCTAAACGAACTGAGACCGTTCACAAATTACTCCGTTTTGCTGGAAGCGACTAATTACTACGCGAAACTTTACGGGGTCAAACCCATTGTGGGATCCTCCTTAATTTTACAAACGGCCGCGGAAGGTGAGTTTTGACTATATATTATATCAATGATAAGATCACTATAAAACGCACGTACGCATATGAATTCACTAATAAAAACTAATAAATTATAATACTACACCCCTATTTATTGAAAATAAGTGGTTATTATACTATTGTTAATTGACGAAAGATTGTGTTTCCATATTTAGTGTAGACTTAAAACTAATTTACCAGAATCCTTTTCTGTCGAGATACTTAATACCTTTCAAACTATTGTGTATCGAAATCTTCTGGCAGGCGCAATAACAAAATCAACTAAAGACTAATACATAATATAATAAATGCTGTATATGTATATAGACAAACAAGTTTCTTATGCGAATTTAAAAAAAATGTATGTGTGTTTGTCTATTTGTACACTCGCAAATAGTTATATCACCTTCTTTGTAACAAAAGAAAATTAACTAAAAATTTTATCCCATGTGTCAGTACTCTCTTTTTGTGAAAAAGATATTAAATGCAATTTGATAACGGTTTAATGATATAATTTGGTATTATAGGTAAATGACTCAAAGATGTTATCTTATTATTCGAAAAGTAAAGGCAATAATGACTAGTAGCTGCGATGTAGGACTTCCATCATAAGGGAAGCCCCGTGGGATCATATCTCACCAGCGCGTATTAATGAATTAAACACGCGCACAAATATATTTTTTTTAGATTTGTTCGGTTTAAAGTCACTTACAATTTTGTGTCAAATTCTATTCGAGTCAAAACAACTGCCAGCTTGTTTTCCACAAGGTTTGTTCTTTGCCATTGAAGTTGCCAATCTGTTTAACTGCTCTTCTATCGATGTTGGCACGGATGCCCCATTTGGAGAAGAGAGTTTATCTGGTAGGGTCACACAATAGTTCACTGTTACACGAGTGCACAGGTCCATCCGAGGAAGTACCACGCCCTCACGGAAGACCGGCGTTAAGTTTAAATGTTACATTTCTGCGTTTCATCTGGTGAGTGAAGTAGCCGGGGCCAACTTTATTATAGGGTGTCAGCGCATATGCAACCCCACGGGCGAATGTCCAAGGGCGGTTGTAATCACTTAACATCAGGTGAACCGCCAGCTTACTTGCCATCCCACATAAAAAAATCCTAAAAAAATTTGGCCCACAGAGTAACTCTAATATCGGATAAATGCAACTCCACAGGGTCCTCTGATGTTGCAGTGATACAATGTTCACAGTGACCACTTGGTATCGCGTCAACCGCTTGATCACTTCCCCAACCAATTCCCGAATAAAATGGAAACATCGATTAAGCTTACGTTTTTATCAATAACTTGAACATTCGCAGCACCAACGCCACCCAAGGACGTCACCGGAATAGTCCTTAGTCCCGTGCTAGCACGCGTCGATTGGACGCCTGTTCCCGGTTTGTCTTACGTGCTGCATTGGCGAACGGACGATTCTTCCTCTATACCGCACAAGTTGAAAGGTAATACGAGCCTCATTTTCAGAACGGTGGATTCCCATAATACACTTCATTCGCCTCTACTAAAAAGAATTTCCCTATCTAAGGTAGGGACCCGCTGGCCGACGATGCCCTTTTTGTAAGTGCATTGTAAACACACGACTACACGCGTGACTCTACTAGCTTTAGTATCTTTCAAACTCGTAGAACGCAAGCTCAGACTGAATGCATCATCATTATCAATCACCAAGAATAGACTTCTTTCGCAAGCTTTCCACAAGAACGAAGAAAGCTTCTTATACAGAATTTAAAACTCCACCAAAAATAAAATAAACAAATACAACCAGAGGAATAAATTTTTATAGTTTTTAATTTTTATTAAAACTCATTCGCAAAACGCAATGGCTGAATCCAGTTTCGTAATCTATTAAACTCCGTGAAAACTTCCACTTGTTTTAAGGAACGTTGACACAATTTTTATATTAAAAAACCTTTCAGAGCACAACATGGTCGAGGTGTCGGAAGGGAGGAGCGCGAATATGACCCGATTGAGCCCGGGTACTCAGTACACGGTGTGGGTACAGGCGCGGTCGGCGCACAGCCCGGTCGCCGCTGACTCGGCCCCCATACGACTGCGCACCGCGCCGTGGCCCGCCCCGTTAGCGCTCATAAACGCCACCGCCTATGCCTTGCGCGTGCTCTGGCCGCCTCCCACGAGCTACCAACTTCACCAGTGAGTGTTCACCTCCATACTTATCGACGTTTAGTTTCTACTCATGCTATTTCTCAATTTTCAACAGTTCATTAATCTCTTCTTATTATTGCTACAAAAAAGCAACCATTAAATATACCTTACGTGTTTCCTCTCCTCCCCAACATTTTGTATCCGTTACGGATCACCCGTGCCATAAATTTACATACAATTGTATGTAATGTATAACGTTGGGTCCTTATACAATTGTAAATCGTGGGGAGATTTTTAATTTTATAATTATTTTAAGAAATTCCTAAAATTTGTATATATTTTTTTCATAAAATTTGATAACTTATATAGTAATCTTTGTAATGAACTTGGCAGATAACAATTAAGTAATAAATTATAGATACAACGTGGAATACGCCGAGTCTTCGCTTTCAAAGGATTTGTGGAAGACGTGCGTGCAGAGTGAGCGCGACGAGTGGACGGCCAGCGGGCTGCGGCCGCGAACTCGCTATCGCTTCCGCTTACGCCTGCAGTACGTCGCACACACACCACCCTATCACTGGCCCCATGACGAACGCTTCACTTACGAGACACTGGGTGATTATACTTTGTGAATATATAACCTATGTATTTACTAGTAAAAGGTGACGCACTTGCTAAGCCATTGGTTTCGGCACCGGGGGTTCGATACCCACACGGGACAAGCATTTGTGTGATTTACAGGTAATTGTTCCGGGTCTGGGTGTTTGTTACAAATGAGGGTTGACATCATGTAGGTTGCCGGTCTTTAAAAAACCCTTGCCGTTAACAACAAGATTCACATTTGTATCGACGCCACCTGCGTGGGATAAGGACAAAAGAAAGAAAAAGACTTTGTGGATATAAAATCATTCCGTCGTACTTTAGCGTATTCTGTATTCGAAATTCGTTTCTTCTCTACGGTTTTCCAAAGAAGAGGAAATACCCACGATAGGCGTTCTCTAAGTTATCCGCGATTTAAATTGAAAACGCAATTTACAATGAAACAATTTCACTATTACCGAAATTTGAAAGGAAAATCTTCTATATGAATTCTATTGATATAATTACACAAACGCTCTGAAACCTAGCGGTGTGTAAAGCAACTGTTGCGATTTGTAGGTGACGTCCCGGGTCCGCCCGGACCGCTGTCAGTAGAAGCAGTGGGAGACAGAGTGCTTCGTGCATGGTGGTCGGAACCCGATCCAAAAGGCTCTCCAGTAACTGCCTATCGCGTTTGGGGACGGCCGCAAAATCGGTAAACTATCTAATTTCATTTAAAACATTTACAACACGAAACGGAAAAGCAATTAAGCGCATCGATGATCATTTTTTTACTTTTGCAATATTATTTTATAATCTGTGTTTCCATTGAATAATTTGAATACATATGAAATGTAATTCTATTTTTTTTGGATTGTTATGTTACACCGTGAATAAACGTTCTTTCTATTTAGTTATGAGTGATGACGTTTTCCCGATATTTGAATTTACGAGAATTAATACATATTGAAACTTTTCAGTGCTAGCAACACCGAAGAAAATGATGTCAAAAACTTAAGTGAACTGGTACCCCCAAATTATCTAAATGACGTTGATGACGAAATGAAAATGCACATATTACGCGAAGGACTTCAATTGCTTCATAACGGAACTGGTAAGTGTAAAGTACATATTTTTAAAAGACTTACATTTCGCTTGGATAGAATATGGAACATTGTATTTATATTAACCGTTGCACGATCTGTTACGTCTGATTTATTCTGCATTCTATCCATCTATTCTGATCTATTCGATCTATGGTCACACACAGATCCATTCCACCATCTAATGGGGGGTCGTTCTAAACTGCGATGGGCAGTACGAGACCACTCGAGAACCTTTCTTCCCCAACGGTTTTCGGCTCTACGATCTATATGGCCGGCCCACCCCCATTTCAGCTTACTAACCTTCTGAGCTATATCGGTTGTCTTTGTTCTATAAATCAAATATTATACTGGTACATATTATGGTAATCCTCTTTCAGAGTCGTACTGGCTCATAGGCGCGGGCGAGGTGTCGGACGGGTACGTGGCGCGTGTGCAAGCGCGCAACGAGTACGGGTGGGGCGCGTTGTCTGTGGGCGCGGAGATAACGGGCGCGCCGCTCGCGCCGCCACTGCGGCTCCACCCCGCCGCGATCGCCGCCGCCGCGGCCGCGCTCGCCGCCATAGCGCTCGCGACGTTCGCCACGCTCCTTTGCAGTAAGCACTTTAATACTTTACTTTATCCAAATAACACTACACACTCAGTTAGTGCATCAACAAACACCATAGTCCGTCCTCGCCTTCGAGCACAGCGAAACCAACACAACGCGTAAACTAGATACTCCCGCGTTCCAGGGCGGATCTCATCTACGCCCCATGTCACCGACTAATCAAGCACAGTCAACGGCCACCGGAGTCACGGTCTGCACCAAACCTCGGTGGCCCGAAGGCGACATGCCATAATTAACGCACGCATGATTACATGCGCGGTTCTACCCACTGAGGAGGGCCTCAAACCTGTGCGTTCTTGCTAGCCCACCGGTTCTACGTTCGATGAAGCTTTAATAATCTAAGGACTGAAAGCGTAGCATCAGTTATACAAATACACAAATACTTTACTTTATTTGCGTAGTGGGTAGTACACCTGAATCTTGCGCCAGAGGGGTGTGGGTTCAATCCTTATTAATACTTGAAAAATATTGTGCTACGATCATGGTGTTTTTATTGGTGTTTATACATTTATAATATGTATTTGTTTACAAAAGAAAAGCATGGTTATCAGTTATCTAGTACCCATAGTACTAGAGTTACTTACTTAGTTTGAGACTGCAGAACGTTGCGTAGTTAATATGTCCTAAATATTTATTTATTCTCCAACCATTACGGTGCAAGACATCCTTTTCTTCCACTTCTATGACCTCTATCAACCGTCATCTCAATACTCACGCCTTTCACAGACATATCATTCTTCACACAGCCCATCCAGATCTTTACAGTTTCTTTATCAGTAAGGACTTAACTTAGTACTTAATGGAACGAAGTTCCTCATCGCGCGGTCGGATTTAGCGGATTGGGGCTAGGCGAAAAATAATTGTTTTAAATTGTTCCGTCACGACCGAATCGTCACGAAAATGCCATGGCAGCCGATAGCAACTTTTTGTCATTAATTAATATTATATGTTATTAGAAATATAATACGTTTATCAATAATAACATACCTAAGTACTACGTAATTAACTTTGTTTCAACCGAGTGTTCCACGAAACTCTTTCTTCTTATATTTACGCTACGCTGGTTTGCAAACGATCGAAAAAGATGTTTATTTATTGATTATTAAAAATGAAAATTTGTGCAAAGGTGGGCTTGACGCTATCAGCATTATCTACCTTGGGATGGCCAGAGAAATTTACCTAGGTGCATTGATTATATAAATACATAAAAGGGGAATCATTGAACCAATCGAGAAATCATAAAAACCTTAAAATATTCCTTTTTAAATAAAGGTGCTACATATTACAACGTTAAATTTTTTCTAGGATCGGGATCGGCGCATAAGTTTCGATAACTATTTCACCTCAATTTTTTTTATACGACACTCTTTAAAATACCGTACTGATTATACGGAAATGCATCTTGCCATGGGCCTCGTCCTTCACCGCTGAACGAGTAAATAAGTCAGCGCTTAAAATTTCAATCAATAATTTATTTGGTGCCGTCACCGGGATTTTAACGCAGGTTGCTCGGGTGAGCGCCGGAACCTGAGCTAAGACAGTATTAGATAATAATAAACTTCATTCTATAGCGTACAAGAATCGTAACAAGAAAAAAGCGGCTATGGAATCACAAATCACCACTGCAATGCCCAGACGAGGACCCGATGTGGAATTGGCGACGCTACGGCAGCTGCCAATACGACATTCCACCAACATTTTATACAACCAGGTAATGTTAAATCTATACAACTACGACTTTCACTAATTTAACACGTTTTTTTATAGAATAGTTTTCTCATCTGCACCTGTGATCGGGAAAAAAATTGTTGATTTTGAACTGAGTACCCGATAAGCTTAAGACTAGATCTTGAAAATCCGAGCTACGGGGCTGAATAACGACTAACGACTTAATAGTTGCATGTCTGTTCATTACGTTCATACGGAATCATATTCCTTAGTTCGCCCAATTTAGTCTGTGGCTTAACCATTTTTTTTAAATATAAACAAATAACAAAAAAGTGCCTGTTAAATAAATGGGCCAAAAGCAGTCCTAAATCAGGGAATGTATACTTAATTTTGTATACTTAACAAGGCATAAGTGTTGCAACACCAATACCAATGTTAGTTGCACTTTAACATAAAACTACTTTAAACATTATCATCCACCCTCATCAGTCTACCGGTAAATATAGGCCCCAAGGCTAGCCAGTTAGCCTGATCTTCGCCTTTGGACTTTTTGTTTGTCCTAACTCCAGATTGTCGCAAGGCATTATATTGGCGGATTCGTTGTCACCGCGATTTAGTGTAAGTCTCTGCACTCAAGATGAAACGTTAATTATAAAATTTTGTAGATGAATGAACAAAATTTTTCATTACTGCGGGTTTCGAACCTGCGTCTTCTGGTTTTGCGGCCACACGCTTTACCAACTACTATGTTCAACATCTATGTTCTTTCTATCGCATTTTTAGCAATGCTTGGCGCCATCAAGTGCGCAATGTTCATCGTTGAATGTTCTTTGTAAGGTGTTGCATGCTGTCAAAGTCAAAGTCAGTTGGAATCCCGCAGCGTAGAAAGTTTTTATTCATTCATCTACAAAAAACTCTAGTTAAAATCCCTAAGTTTATTCACCAACGGCATTGTCCAGGGCGTGCTGAGCCCCACCGAGGCGGAGCTGTCCGCGCTGCCGCACGTGCGTCGCGAACACATAACCCTGAACAAGTTTCTGGGCTCGGGTGCGTTCGGCGAGGTGTTCGAGGGGGTCGCCAGACAGCTGGCTGACAGCCCTGCCGAAACAAAGGTCGCGGTTAAGGTACGAGGCAGTTTCTCTTAAGCCCATATGAATTACGCATCAACGGCTCACTCAACCCACCCATCCGAATAGCAACAAAGAAAGTGTATTATAATTATATTGGTGACTGCGTGACCCAGTTGCCAAGGTGTTGCGGCTTCGGCGTCGAGCGTCGTTGGTTCGATTCTCACACGAGACGATTTGTTTGACCCACAGATAATTTTATCGCATCTGTATATGTAGTAACGTGAAGTTCATGTTTGTAAAACGTAATGTTTTTTAATACATTTAATTATTTTAAATATTTATATATTTTTTCTTCTATTTGTATACATTTTTACTTTTTCATTTTTATTTACACGGATACAGGTATAGACTAAAGAGAATAATGCTCTCTGCGGTCTGTTGTTGATGATGAGTCCAAAGCGTTACAAGTTGCAAGTCTTCGCCTTGTGTTACAGTGATGGAAATTTTGGAATCATAATTGTGTATCGTGTACAATTGTAAAGTGTACAATTGGAACTCTCGACCTCAGATCGCAAGTCGGCGTCTTCACTACAACACTGCTTAAAATAATCTTCGGTTACAAAAGTACTAACTTTGTATGATTTTTGTTTACCTTTCTCTTGCTAGCAATAATTATACCAACACATACATTAAGATACAGTTAATGAAATTCTTTAATTAAAAACAGACCCTCAGAAAAGGAGCGACGGAGCAGGAAAAGTGCGAGTTCTTGAAGGAAGCCGCTCTAATGTCCAACTTCAAGCACGAACACATTCTACGGTTGCTGGGCGTGTGCCTTGACAACGATCCCAACTACATCATCATGGAGCTCATGGAGGGTGGGGACCTGCTCAGCTACCTCAGGGCTAAGCGCTCCTCACTTGTGAGTGTTGTAACAATTACTTTTCAGATCTTATATTCATCTTAAATGAAGAGATTAGCACTACAAAATTAAAAAATCCAGTTTTTAATATTAAAAATAATATGTTAGTCTCGCCAAAGAGGTTTTCGATTAAAAGGTTTCAGATTTAAATCCATACAAAATTTCGTTACTATCAATTTTATTTTACATAACTCACGTTGTAAATTTCAAATAAATTCCAGTACACGCCGGAATCGCTGACGCTCCTGGATCTGTTGAACATGTGCGTTGACGTAACGAAAGGTTGCCGCTACTTGGAAGAGATGCACTTCGTCCATCGGGACCTTGCCGCTAGGAACTGCCTCGTAGCACACAGATCTGGGGGAAGGGTAGTCAAGATCGGCGACTTTGGTCTTGCCAGAGACATTTACAAGAATGACTATTACAGGAAAGAAGGAGAAGGTAGGAATTTTTTCAGTTTTTCTTGCTAACTTTGAGCAGTCAGCTCGTTGTCCGGGCGCTCGCTTAAATATACTCGAGCAACCTGAGTTCGATCCCCGGTGCCGGCACCAATGAAATTGTTAATTTTAAGAGCTGACTTATAACGTGTTGGGTGTTACTTTACTTACTTTTGTCGCAACGAAGAACTGAGATAACCGATAAAGCTGAGAAAATAACTAAGCTGAAATGGTGATGACCTGGCCATATACCTCATAGAACCGTTAACGTACCGTTGGGGAAGAAACTGGTAACCTCGCACAAGTCATCGCAGTGTAGAACAACCCCCCACTAGATGGAGTGATATACCTACCTGTGCAAATGTGCGGAAAGCCGATGAATGCAGGTGGCTCAGGATCGTGCTTCGTGGCATTTTGTGGGGGAGGTCTATATTTAGAAGTGGACACTAATTGGCTGAATTGATGATGATGATAATGATTGCTTGTTAATTAAAAATTCAATAAGTATTGGCACGAGATTTAAACAAAAGTCAGTAAATTACTTTTTATTACAATCGCTTTTTATTATATTTGATGACGAATCAAGTTCAGTAAGTGATCCTGTCGAAAAATTCATAATTTTTCGAAATAAGCGAAATTAGGAAAACTCTCGTCATTGATTAACAATAACTTAAATCATTAAAATCACCATCATCGTTTAAATTAATAAATGAAATAAGTAATAGTGGATACATGTGGTGGTGTGATTCATCATTTACTTTAACATCACAAGATTTTTAGGGTAAACTTTTAAATCATTATTACGCTTATTCTAGGATTATTGCCTGTACGATGGATGGCCGTGGAATGCTTAGTGGATGGAGTTTTCTCATGTCAATCCGACGTTTGGGCCTGGGGCGTGCTATGTTGGGAGGTGAGTCATACTTACTTATATTTTACCTCCATTATAGTTTCATTATATACACGTATAAATACTTCCTTATTGAAAAATAGATCGTACTTAATAGCGTCTTGGGGTATTGGTGCATTTTGTGACATGTAACGTTATCGGGGTCAATGCAAATGACGGCCCGCTAATAAGCTTTAGACACCGTACTATTCCCACAGTTGGCACACCCAATGACTTTTGTACTAAATGGACGGGATCAAAATAACTACACTGAATACTCCCCTTTTTTCAAGTTATAATAAGTTCTTGTATCTTGTATTAAAGGATGTTAACGCCCCGAGACTAATAAAGCTTCATCGAATGCAGAACCGGTGGGCTAGCCAAAACCCACGGGTTTGAGGCCCTCCACAGTGGGTAGGGCCGCGCATGTGCTCATGCGTGCGTTAGCTAAGCATTGTCGTCTACGGTATCAAGGTTCGGTGCGGACTGTGCCCCGATGGCCGTTGAATGTGTTTGGCTAGTCGGTAGCTGGGGGCGGTGAGAACCGTCCTGGAACGCGGGTAGGCGTTGTGTTGGTTTCGCCGTGCTCGAAGGCGAGGACGAACTGTGTTGTTTGCCTTTGCACTAATAATGAGGAACTGCCTTAACCTTTTAAAGATTGAAAACGAATCTGCAACCCCACATTTGTTGTTAATATCCCGTCTAGGATCATCTTGGGAAACGTCAGCTCGCATGGACGTTTCTCACATAAAATATGTGAAGTACCGCAAAACAGGCCCTAATGCTCAAATATTTATACGACCCCTGCCTGTGACGTGGAATCGAAATCGTCGTCGACGCTTGGTTGACCGTGAAATGTAGAACCTAGTATTGTTCAACTTACAGGTGCTGTCGCTGGGACAACAGCCGTATCCCGCGCGCACCAACCGGCAAGTGCTGGATTACGTCAGAACCGGAGGCACACCCGACCGGCCGCCCAACTGTCCAGCAATGTTGTACGTATCAAACTGTTCCACCTCAGAATAAGCCTCAATATTACTGGACATTTTTTTTACACAACCTTATCTAGATTCAAAATAAGAAAATATAACTGATAAATGTTGGTTGCCATCGGTTATTTCTTTATCCAAAGCTTTTCGTAAGGCATTGGCATCAGAGTAAGCAACACCACCAATTCTTCTCTTTAATTTTTGAAAGCAACCATAATCACATAGACTTAAGTCAGGGGAATATGGTGGTTGAATCCAACGCTCAATGTTATGTTGATCCTTAAATATTGCGCAATAAAAATTCAAAACCGGGCGGGTTTGAGCCGAACAACCTAATAACCTAACCTACCTAACCTTTTTTTTTTTTTTTTTTTTTTTTTTTTTTTAACGTGGGAAAAATCCTTTATGGATCCCCCGCCACCTTGTGGGTAGACAGCGAGGGTATGTGGGAGTCCCCAGGATACGCGGGTACCCACTAAAAAACCCACGTTGCACCTGCGCTGTCGCTTTTGCCGGGGACACGGGAACACGAAAACGCAATCTTCCGCGAACCCCGGCGCGACTGTGGCTTTCTAAGGCCTCCTCTCTCCGGGTCTTTAGACACCCGGTCCAGCCAAATGGTGCGTATCGGTGCAAGGGACACGGCACCCCTCTCGATCCCCCTACGGGCAGCAGTTAATCCCACATCTGCCGCCCCAGGGCTCCCTATCAGGGGGGAAGGTTGCGCGCGTAGGCCAGCCTCCTGCGCCCTGGTCTCCGGCAGCGGATTTCCAGGGTGGCAGTTGCCTCCCTTTCTCGCTCCGCGGCCTCCTTCCGGGTGACTATGTCCTCACAAAAAGCAAGGACCGCACCCCACGCCCTCTCGCTGTCCACCATAGCACGAACCACGGCAGGCAGCGAGAGGTCGTGCCCCACGATAGCGCACAGCTCTCGGCGCTGCTCCATCCAGGCTGGGCACTCTTCCAGCGCGTGTTGGGCCGTCTCCTCGGCACATACGTCACAGTGGTGGCATTCCGCTGTGGGCTCCCTCTTCGCCACGCGAAACAGGTACCTCCCGAAACAACCATGTCCCGAGAGGACCTGCGTCGCGCGGTAGGTGAGGGCGCCGTATTGCCTGTCCAGCCACCTACTGAGGACAGGACGTATGGCCTCCACGGTTCTTAGGCCGGCGCTGGGGTGCTCCAGCCTTTGCTCCCACTCAGCAATGGCGTTTGAGCGCAAGATATTCCTACGCGTCCCCAACTCGTCTGTGGCTGGCGTGTGGCCTTGGGCTTTTAGCTCCTCGCGCCAGAAGTGCAGTGACGCGAGGATTTCAGCTTCCAGGTCCCAAGGCAAAGTACCAGCCAACAGGCACGCCGCCTCACCGGATATGGTCCGGTAGCCACGAATGGCTCGTATGGCCAACACCCTTTGCGGTTTGCACAAAAGTGCTTTGCTCCGGCGGCTCAGGGTGCCAACCCACACGGGAGCCCCATACAGGGCCATTGACCTCAGGACTCCGGTGTATAGGCGACGGCACATATCGTTGGGACCGCCAACGTTTGGGAGCAGTCTGCCGAGAGCTGCTGCTGCTTTCACCACTTTGGGAGATTGCCGCTCAAAGTGGGCACAGAAGTCCCATCGGCGATCTAGGACTAGGCCGAGATACCTCATGGTAGGTTGTACGTCGACACGGACGCCACACACAATAATATGGGCGTCCGCAGGTGGTGCGTTCCGAGGCCCATAGAAACATATAGGGCCTCGGATTTACTTAACGCCACCTCTAGCCCTAGTCGCCGAATACGCCTCACCACCTGAGCCACTCCCGCAGTGGCGAGAATAGCAGCCCGGCGAAAGTTTGTGCCGCGGGCGGTCACAAGGGTGTCGTCAGCATAACATGTCACCTCGACACCCCTGAGGTAGGCACCACGCAGCACCCAATCATAACCTAAATTCCACAGGAGCGGCCCTAACACCGACCCCTGTGGAACTCCACACGTCACCTCGATGGCTCGTCGAAGCCCGTCTCTGCATGGATACTCTACACGACGGTCTGACAAGTAGGCCCCGATGGTACGGCGCAGGTAAAGGGGCACTCCATGATACCGGAGCGCCTCTCTGATGCAAGCCCAGGGCAGGGTATTGAAGGCATTGGCGATGTCAAGAGACACCGCCAAGACGACCTCACCCTGGGAAACTGCTTCCTGCGCGAGGGACCTCACTCTCAGCACCGCGTGTATTGTTGATCGACCCTTGCGAAACCCAAACTGCCTATCAGAAAGATTAGGGCCGACATGCTCCAGATGACCGATGATGCGGCTGGCAATGACTCTCTCAAAGAGTTTGCCCACATCATCGAGCAGTACTATCGGCCGATAGGCAGAGGGTGAGTCCAGGGGACGCCCGTCCTTCCGGATGAGGACGAGTCTGCCTGTCTTCCACTTCTGTGCAATTGAGGCTTGAGCCAGACAGGCAGTAAACATCGCCCTCAACCTGGGCTCCAGGGCGTCCTCCAGGGCCAGGGCCCAGACTCGTCCAGGAATACCGTCAGGACCCGGGGCGGTGGTTTTGGCTTTCATCTTTAGAACGGCAGCACCAAGCTCCCCCGGGGTCACCTCAGGCACTTCCACACTTACGTCAGTCTCCTCATAGTCAGGTCGAACCATCACAGGTGGCGTATGCTCCTCTCGCTGAGGGAACAAAGCCGTGGCAATCGCCGTCACCAACTGAGGATGCAGAGTTTGCGTGAGTGGGGGGGCCCAGGGGCGAAGTTTCTTCAACACCATCCTGTATGGCCATACGTGAAGAAACGTCCCCATGGATCACGGTTTAAAGAAGTCAAAAATTCACTTCTGGCAGCAGCGACCGATTTGGCTATTTCGGACTGCAGTGCCATTTTTGCCGCTCTATAAGAGGCGTAGAGCAGCGGCTCCAAGCCTGCATCTCTGTGCCGCCTTCTTCGGCATCGGGTGAACCGGCGCCTTGCCACGACACACGCTCTACGCATTTGGGAGAGCTCCTCAGACCACCAATATACTCGGCTCTTTTGTGGGAAATTTCTGGACCGGGCCATGGACGCGTTACAAACTTCCGTCATTGTGTCCCGGAACCATTCAGCCTCTCTCTCGACGTTCAGATGAGTGGTTGTGGGCAACCACGATGCTACAATAGCCGCCTCTTTCAGAGAGTCGCGGTCCAGACTTTTGAGGTTCCACCGTGGGCCGTCCCTCCTTATCCTCTGATTTGGACCGGTCAGGGTATCTGGTAAGGCGGAGACTTCAAAACGGATATAACGGTGGTCGGATAATGTCTCCTCATCCACCACTACTTTCCAGTCACGAACACGGCGTGCCAAAATGGGGCTCGCAAACGAAACGTCCACTATGGATCCGCCACGTTGCCGCACGCACGTGTTCTCGGATCCCCGATTGAGGACGGTTAGCCCGACCTCCAGGAGCCATTCGTCCAGTAACCGACCGCGCGCGTCGGCCACTGGAGAGCCCCACGCCACAGACTTGGCGTTAAGATCCCCAGCAACCAACACGGGGTAGGGATTAAGTTGTCGGATTAATGACCCCAGTCGGTCCAGATAGTCCTCGAACTCGGCCAGGGTTCTATTGGGCGAGAAATAGACCGCTACGACAACAATCTCTCCCAGTCGGGCCGCCACAAAGCCTGGACCTCTGCTTACGTTACTGAGAGGAACAGAAGTCGCAGTTGATCTGTAGACTAGCGCCGCCGTGCTAGAATGATCCCCAGCCCAGTTGTCACCTGGGGGAACAAAGTATGGTTCTGCTACGATAGCCACTTGTATAGTCCACTGTGCCATGCTCTGGAGCAGAAGATCTTGAGCCCTGGCACAGTGGTTGATATTCACCTGCAAGAACCTTATGGTGGCCATTCACTACGAAATGGACATAGGAATCCCCTCTTCCCTAGCCTCATTTGTTTGCTGATGGGATAAATGCGACTGCAGTGGTGCACCTGTGACACCTTGCCATCGCTTCCTCTTCTCAGGCTTGGTTGTGGTGCAAGCACTGCTTCCAATTTTGTGTGCGGCAGACTTGTTCAATGCCGCGCATACCAAACAATGAGGCATCGCCGAGCACTGGGCAGACATGTGGCCCAGTTGGCCGCAGCGGAAGCATGTATTACTGCGGTCAACTTCAGAGGTGCACTGTTCTCGGACGTGTCCTACCTCCAGACATCGGAAGCACCTTAAGGGTCGCGGTGGCAATAGCTTGGTCCGCACTGATGACCAACCTATGAGAAGCCGACCTGCTTCAGCTATTTTGCGGGCACTAGCCACAGGACAACTGACTAACACTGTGCCCAGTCCAGATCGGTCTCGACGAATTTCCCCCACCTTAACGGAGTTTACTGCGCATTCACCCTTTCGTGCTATTGCTACGGCAACTTCCTCCTTTTCAACGGAGTCGTCCAGGCCTAAAATGCGCAAATCTGCGCACTTCTCCGGCCTGGAAACTACCGCGACGTCTTCACTGACCACCTGTCGCAACTTTTCAGCCAGCAGGTTGGCTTTATCGCCACTAGTAGCCCCTGGCACTTCAAGGACTCGGGCCCCTGTTACGGCCTTTCTAAAGCGAATGGCCTGGATCCCGAGAAATTCCAAGTCCATCGCTTTTTTGGCGTCCCTAAGAATACCCGCGTAGGTGACCCCTCGTGCTGCCGCATCCGGTTGTATCTTTATTACTACAGCTGATGAGCGAGGAGGCCGCAGCTTTGGTATCTTTTGCCGCTCCTTGGGACTTGCCGCTTTGTCTGCGGTACCAGTGCCAGATCTGCCAGGTCGGCGCCGGGTAACCAATGTCCATTCCTCCGAGGGATGTCCTGGTGTTGCCGATGGCGGGGCGCTTGAAACATCCTGGTTGGTGTTTCCTGGCGTTCCCTGCTTCTTTTTCCTTCGCAGTTTCACATTCGTCTCATGCACATTGGTCACAGATGGCCCACTTCCCGTTGCAGGAACTGGTGTCCCAGTCAGTCTGACGTCGCTAACCGTGGTTGGTTTAATGGCGGCTGCAGACGACTGAGTCGCTCTGTTATCTACGGCTAGCGGTGGACGCAAGCGCTTCTCGGGCAGTAACCTGTCTTTTAGTCCCTCGAACCTGGCATTTATCATCGTCCCCACTGCCTCCAATATGGACCGTTGCAGTATCTCCGGCTCGTGCAATACAGAAGAGAGGGGAGTGGCTGATGTCGCGTGCCTACGCTGCGTCTCCCTCAGGTCAGCCTGTAATGTCGTCACTTGGCTGCGGAGTTCAGCCAATTCCGCTTTAAGACGCGAATTATCCGCAGCCAACTTTTTGGTCTCCTCTGACACCGAGGTTTGGCTCAGGGCCTCCACCGCACTGCTTATTTGCGTTGCCGCATCCTTGAGGGCCTTAACAAACGTGCCCTTCAGGTTGGACGATTTGGTAGCGACATGCGTTATTATTGATACCTGCTGGAGCACTCGCTCCCGCAAGTCGTCCGCAAGAACATTCATGTCCTTATCACTCTCACAGGTCTCTGAGAGGCAGATAGGTCCTAGATTAGCTTTACGCGAAGCTTCCACTACCTCTTGCTCAGCCTGAAGTTCTCTTGCTGCGCGTTCTGCAGCGATCAGGGCAGACTTGCCTTTGGTCCTTGTCGTACGTGACCTGCCTCTTTCAACGTGGACATCAGCGTCATTGATCTGAGTTGCGCTCGCCTTTTTCCGGCTTACGCCTTCAGACTCCAAATAGTCAGCCTGAATGGGTTTCTCCCCCTGCACGTCAGTTCGCTTGAGGTACCGTCCCCGCTTATCCTGAACTAAGATAGGGGATGCAATGCGTCCCCGGCCTCTTTTCCCAGCCAACACTTTTTGAGCTGGCTGCTCGTCGTCACTCGAGGTCCCGCTGACGTTAGGGTCCTCGCCTTCTTTTCTCGGGCGTTTCCGAACATCCCCGAAAAATTTCGAGGGTCTATCCTCAGATACCCAGTTCGACTCTCCAACAGACGCAGACCTTCTCAGGCCCGCGCGTTCTTCACCTACCAACTCACATAGCAAGTCTGAGTCCATATTAGCGCTTTTGTCATTTTTGGTATTTGGTTTATTCAATGTTGCCATAATGATCCCACGAATATTAGGTAAAAAACAGTCCACCGAGCCAGTGACCGTGTAGCCCGGTAACCCTACATACACCTGGGGGTCGGGAGGTACCCAGGGTTGGCCGCTAATGGCTGGTTTGACGCCCCAGCCGCTCTTTCGAGCCCACGCCGCGTACCGCAGCGCCGGAATCGGCGGATTTTTTAGTGAGGTTTACTCCTCGCGGTCCGACCGGTGAAGGTAAGACCCTCAGCTCTGCTGCAGGCCGCGAGACATGTCCACGACACCTGCAACAGGGTACCGAGATCGCCCGGTGTCGACAAAGCCGAGTGCGCTTGGCAAACTCACCGCACGAGTCAAACGTCCCCTTTCGGAGACTTCCTTCCATACATCACGCAAACACTCAGCCTATTTACCCATTCCCCCCCACATAACACCCACCTTTCATACATCTCGCTTTATTTCCCCCCCTGTTGCTTCCCTTGTTCCCTCTCACGAAAGAGGGATACTGGGAGCAATTAAGGCCCGCCTAGAAGGCTCTGCCTCGTAGGGCATTAAGCCCTTTGGCATCCCGGGGTCCTGAAAAGGATCACCAGATGGCCCCCCCTTGCCAGTTTTGGTCCACGCCAGTTTCCCGGTATCACCCATGTCTGGGTGACATTCCCCTATCCGCCACCTGGGGACGCGCCCGATAGGAGGTCTGGCAACTCCCACGGGAACCTACCTAACCTCTAACAACATTTAGCAATATATGGAGTTGGTGCCAACCTAAGAATATCTGATCTGAGCATAAAATCATTCTATTAACTTTGGTAGTCAATTTAGGTGGATTAGATATATAATTAAATACATATAACTATCTTTTAACCTATTTATTAGATAACCGCAGTATTCAGTTGCTTAGCTTCTTTCTATTTTTTTAGCAAGGTGTTATGGTGTACAACCGTTACCTACCCGTGGTGAAAGATGGCACCGACTCCAAAAAATTCAAAATGAAGATTATTAAAAATCAAGAAATTAAAAAAGCTGCCCAAAGTAACTAATCCACGCGAAAAAAAGGGGCAAAAGCTAGTAAAGTATAAATGTTCTAGGTACGAGCTACTGCAAAAGTGCTGGAGTTATAGCGCCGAGGCAAGGCCTTCGTTCCGGCATTGTCTGGAGGTGGTGACGTCACTGCGCGACGCGACCGCCCCGCACGCCCCGTTGGCCGCGCAGCCAACGCCCGGACACCACTACCTTACACTACTGGCGGACGGTTAGCTCCCAAATGTTGCTTACTAACTAAAATGATCGATCTATTAACAACATAATTATAATCATAACACCAATTCCTGGGCGCTTTTCAATGTGAAGGAAAGGCAGGTTCGAGGGTGGTTGAGTATATTTTAAATATTTTTGATGATTCCTTCCCACGAAAGCCCCCGATAGTCAAGCCAATTGGAAAGGAAATGCCCCCTTGCAGAACTTATTCCTGGCTTAAGTACGATAAAGATAAAGTATAATTTGAATGACAAAATACGATTTAATAACGGTTTCATTCTTGAAGTTATGCTTGTTTTGTCGCGTTAGAGAAATATAATGGGAGTGAATTTTTATGATGCGCTCGCACAGCAACCTGACAAGTTAACAACATGAAGTTAGTCGATAACAAAATACGAAATTAACATCATTATATATATATACATAGTATAGTCAATAAATCTTCCTACAGTTTTGTCATCAATGTACCATTGAGTTTCGACTTTCGCACACATTATTCATGACTAAGTTCATGGTGTTACTGGTATTTCATGTAGTCGACTAAGTTCATTGTGTTATTTCCGTATTCATTTTTATTTCATTCCAATTTAAAATATGAAAATATCGATTCACATGCATGGTGCAAGAGCATGCTATAGCACGGCAAGAGGTTCGATGACAATTTATTAAAGTAATTAAAATCGAACCTAGGTCTTGAAATTTCAAAGTTTACCGGTTCCGAAAAAGTTTACCGGTTATAAGATGCATGCTTCACATCTCATAATCGCATTTAAATTTCTAATCACTGCTATGGGAATAATGTGTTATAATTTATTCCCGCTTCAAATTACTCTAACCACTGTTACTAATACAATGCGCATGGCGGCATGTTCAGATGCAGTCGACAACCGCACCTACCTGCTGGACGAGAATGAAAACGCCTGCATAGGTTTGTTTTATGCTTCATTTAATTGACGTCGTAATAATTTCTTAATTGTACTGTACGGTTATTATTGAGCAGTTGATGGCGCCAACTATTACTAAAATGCAATAGAACGATTTGTAATACATTATTTTCGCGCCATGAGGTCATCGGCCGCTTAATTTGGTTGGTTAAAGGACACGAAACCAGAAGACGCAGGTTCGAATCCTGCAGCGCCAAAGTTTTTGTTCATCTACAAAACTTTCCAATTTAAAGTTTCATCTTGAATGCGAAAAGCTTTGCCCCAGTTCTATCAACGCATTTTTAAATCTCATTTACAAAGTTTTACAAAGCAAAAGCTTAAAATAGTCGACTAATTTTATGCGTGATGTAACCATAAATTTTTCTAATCGTTAAATAGTTGGATCATTAGCATGCTTGGCAAATGGAGCTCGTCGGACATTCCGTGAGATAACCGAAGCATTTCTCAACAAACGTAGCTCATAAACGGAATAAAGAAACGGTTCCGTTTTCAGACGAAGACTTTCCGGAGCAGCAGATGGAGCCGTCGAGGCTTCTGCCGCAGCCGAAGTACCTCGAGCTGATGTACGACAGCGACTCGGGGGCGGACACGCTGTGCGACGGGTACGAGATACCGCGGACGCCGATCTCGTACATACCGTTCTCGCGCCACAGCATAGTGGGCGTCGCGCCGAACAGACTGATCAAGCCGCCGCTATACCGCACGCACTCGCTGCGCGCGCGTCCGATGCGCACGCACTCGCTGCGTGCACACGCACGCCCCCCAAACGCCACTATAGTCCCTCTAAGGAACGGAATCGTCAAACGGGCCTCGCTATGCGAAGCCCGGGAGCCCCGGCCCTCCTCAAGTGGTCAATTCGACAAGCATATCTTTAAGACACCGTTCTAAGATATTAGATCCCCTTAATCCACCGAGCACTCACTGCGTGCTTACACGCCCCCTTAAAACGCCACTATAGTCCCTCTTAGGAACGAAATCGGCAAACGGGCCTCCCTATGCGAAGCCCGGGAGCCCCGGCCCTCCTCAAGTGGTCAATTCGACAAGCATATCTTTAAGACACCGTTCTAAGATATTAGATCCCCTTAATCCACCGAGCACTCACTGCGTGCTTACACGCCCCTTAAAACGCCACTATTGTCCCTCTTAGGAACGGAATCGGTAAACGGGCCTCCCATGTGAAGGCTGAAAGCCCCAAGCCTCCAAACAGAGAAGCATAATACCTTTAAAACACGTTCTAACTGTGATATTAGATCCCCTTAATCCACCGAGTGGCATTCGCTGGCAACGCGCGCTTAAGTATATGTATATTATTTATTGAAAGGTTGTAAATATACGGGAACATTGTACATATTAGTCTTAAAGGTAAATAATGTGAAAATGTTGTAATGCATTTATTTCTAAGTTATTCCTACTTATTTGTAACCTTATGCCAATATAATGTATGGATTCTCAAGGTCTTTACTATTAAGGAAATAAATATAATACATATCTGAAACATTTTGTTTCAATTATTATACGAGGTATATTATTGCTAATTGATGTCATAACAACAAATAGAATATCTGCATCATTTATATATAGACTGCTTCGATACAATTTCTACAACAATGCTAAATGAAATATGATTGTTCACAAATAATTTTCTTATCTTTCTAAACATTACGTCTTCTAAATGTGTTTCACACCAAAAATTGATAAAGCTTTATGCTTATAGAAATGATCATAGGCTGCACTCTTCATATGAAGATTTCTTTTGTATCAATCAACTGTAATATTTTTAACATGGCAATGGTTCAAATTCAGTATGAAAACTAAATACGATTTGTCGAATTGATTGGGCATTTTTCTCCTGTCTCGTTTATGATTTTTTAATATGAAATAATTCGTAAATAATCATAATAAACTTAAAAAACAAATTGTTTATCCAGTGAATAAAAAAAAGAAAATAACAAATGTATCCCGACATTCAAGCTGAGTATTTCACCTATTTTACTCCTATTTACTCATAGATATAGACAAAATTTGCATGAAATAAGAGTAACGGTGGCACCTCACGTGGCTTTATATTTGGCAAATAAACATACAGTATGGCCTTATTTGCCAATGTGACAAATAAAGCAAAGCCCAACAAATGAAATGAGTCCAAGTCAAAATGTTACTAGACATGTCAATTTTGGCGTGATGCTCCAGTTTCCGACACAAAATTAAATTTTGTGTCTAGTTCAGATTCAGACAAAATTTAATTTTGATTTTTTTTAATTTTTCGGAAACTGGAGCATCGACGGGACGACTCAGTTCCGCTTTTCGCGTGATACACGACGATGCGGCTAAGTAATATAGACAGTTTTATTACTATCGAAATCGTTACATATTAAAAATTAAACCCTTGGCTCCATCATCATTGTATTGAATTTTGAATTTGATTTTTTTTTTTGAAAAAACATTGCCCTCACTTTAGGATAACATTATCCTGTGTTGTAAGGACGTTTTACAAACATAAATTACACGAGGACAAACACCCAGATGCGAAACAACTATCTGTGAGTCGCACAAATAGTTGTCCCGTGTGGGAATCGAACCCACGACCCCCGAGCCGAAGCCAATACCTTGGCAACTGCGCCACGGAGATTGAATAAAAAATAATTAGTAATAATATTTACGTATTTTTTATTACTTCACGCTTTCGACGAAATAATCCCACTTTTACTCAAAATACTTCAAAAACCCGCTTTGCCCGATAAAAGTCTACCCGCTCAACAAATACAGGAGTGCTGATTACACTCATTCTACAAGCGACCATTAACAACATTAGCCACGTGAGGTGTCGCGTTTAAACAAGAAGCTTGGGGTATTGTTGTCTGCGCAAATAACTCAACGGCATTATTCCCCGTCGGCAGCCATCTCCTCCTTAATACGCTTCTCCTGCTTGATCTGATTGGTTGTGGTGACAGCCGCTCCTAGAGCGGGCACGTCCTGGTTGTCGTCATCTTGGGCGTCATCCTTGCTGTTCTCGTGGAGGAGCACGTACTCGCGCTGAGAGAAGCCAAACTTCACCACGTCGCGTTCCAGCAGCTCGACGTAGCGACGCGGCTCTATCTTCTTATTGTTGACAAACGTCCCGTTAGCCGATTCTGTAATTTGAAGTAAGATCATAGTTTTTGTACTAGCACAATTGAAATCCTTCAGTACTAAACACAAACTTCACACAACAGAACACAGATTCAAAATTCAATCAGAAGTTTCCGACTAGATCGGACAACATATAAAAATGTTATGAAAAGTTATTACTAAAATATTAACTTTAATATTTTTACAACAGGTTTTGCTGTTGCATGAATGAGTAAAACCTGCATAAGGAAATGTCATCATTGTGGATAACAAACTTTAATAAAGTTTAAAACGTGTAATGTTCCATAAATAATTAAAAACAGAAACATAATACACAGTGAAGAGATTATCACGGCATTTCTTACCCAAATCAATAACATATGGTCGCACACGCCTGCCTTGAGAACCGTCATCTCTAGTAAAAGGTGTTGCTCTGTATTGGAGAGCTGCATGCTGCTTGCTTATGGAGGGATGTTCTAACGCTATGTCCACAACTTTCTTGTCTCGACCAATCAGGAAACAGGATTGCCGGTGGATGTATAAAATGGGTAATGCTTTATCGCCTTTGAATGGATAGAATCTAAAAGTATCATAAGGATATAGTCACATACAAAAAAATTATGAATACTATAAGAAATTTATTATGTTACAAAATGGTATGTCACTAGCAAACATTAGTTACCACATTAGTGTCATTTATTATCCCTTATAAAGTTCATATTACAATTTGTCAAAAGTTTAAGACTAGGAAATAGTAACATACTCATTGTATTGTATTGTTAACTAGCCATGTTTGAGAAAGATGAATTTATCTACTCAAAACATACCTCCATCTTCGCTTTGGTTGCTTTGCATCATCAGGCTCGGAGTACTTTATAACAACACCATTTACAGTGTTAGTGTCGGCCGTTAGCTTGCCTGACAGCCCAAAATTTGGTTTCTCCTTCTCAGCTTCGTTCTTAGTTCCTTCTGTTTTCACTTCGGTCTTACCCCAGTTATATTCATTCTTATCCTCAGTATCAGCAAAACTACAAATATGTAAAAGAAATAAATTGGTTTATTCAATTAGTATCCATTAAAATAAAATATTTTAAGCACTAAGCTAAACGGCTGATTGCAACAGCGACAAATATCTCAACGTCTTTTATCTAGATTGTTTATTCGCATTTCAAGCAATGCTTGGCGTATCTATTTTTATATCCTTTACTGCATACAAACAATTCAAATATCGTTTTATAGCGATAATTCGGACGAGAGATCTCTCCGAATTTTCTTATGAATTCAATCGCCTTAAGAAGAATTTAAAATTTATACAGTAATCTGTATAAATTTTAAATTCTTATTGCGCTTATATCTGCACTTAGATAAAACATTAAATCTTGTAGAAAAAAGGAAGAAAAGTTGCAGGAATCCATATCTTCCGGATTCGATTTTTTCGGATTTTTTTCCTGTTCCTGTTGTTCCACTTCAGGTGGAATGCCCCATATGTATTAACATCAACAGTTCCAATTCATTTAGTTGCAAGTATGGGAATAATTTAGAAGTAAGTAGATAGCTAATTACTCGGTCTTGGTAACTTCACCAGGTTAATCACAAAAAATTATGCAATACTACTGTCCTCAATAAAGCAAATTTATAATTGCAAAATCAGAACATTTATATGCAATCAAGTTTCTCTAATTTAATCCAATTTCTTATAATTATTAAGCAAAAACTGACCGGCTCTTTCGCTCCCGCGGACGCGAATCACCAGAAGCTCGTGGACGTTCCTCGCTCTGTCGCACATTCCTGCGTCGTTCTTCTCCACCACCTCCACCACGTTCCGCCCTCTCCGCTCTCTCCTTTGGCTCCCTTGATGGTCGGACAGGCTCTTCTCTGTCTTCTCTGCTGTCCACTCTTCTGTTTTTGTCTCTGTAGCGGTCTACGGGACTCCTGGATTTGGAAGCTTCTCTGCATAATATAATCAGAATTACAATTAAGTTAATTTTTTCCTACATTCTAAGTAATAAATTGTAACCAAAAAAGTCAAGCTCTAGCTGGACAGATTACATTTATGTATAATTGATTATTCATCAGCTTAGGACTATGCACAGTAGGTTTTATTTTCACAATCTTACCTTAACCTAATAAAGAAATAAACAATACTTAAGAAATATTTTTTTAGAAATAATACTGTTAGAAAGCACAGTGAATATTACCTCTGTGGTTGTATTGGTGGCTTTTCAATTCTGGGCGGCCGTTCGCGACGGAAATCACGAATCCTATACAAATAAAGCATAAAATTACAAAAAAATTCTCTCTCCTATGAATTTAGACACGAAATATTAAACCCTATAACTCATTCAAAGATTTAGAAGTGAAACGCGCAACTTATTTAGGTTGAAAATAGTCTCTTCACTGGCCTATTTTCATACTTTTATTAAGTATAGCAATGTGTAAGGTGTGTTTATTATTAATTTATTTTGAATGTAATTTTTATTTTAACAGGTTTAATTGATCCGTTCACCCATGGTATGTCATTTTTGAAAACATCTATTCAACATATCTGGTTAAAGCTATAGAATAAACGAAGACCGAGATGTACCTGTTTTTACAATTAAAATTGAAAAGGTTATTTATCGAAATAATCTTCAACACGTAGCCTGTTACTTTGACACTCCTATATCATACACTTACCATGGTTTAACTTGGATATATACGATGATGTCAGGAGTTACCTAATATAAGATATCATCCAATCATGGATTTTTCTCTTTGTCTCTGTTTTTCTCATACTATTCTACTTCTCTTTATTTTGCTAGATCTTGATTGCAGCTTTGAGTATATGTTAACATTTTATCTTAAAATTATTATTCAACTCAATGAAGCATATGCATTTTTTTTCTGTATCTTGATTTAGTAATAACAATATGAATATCTGTTAATCAAACCTCATTCAATTAATTTGTAAAAAAAAATTGTATATTAAAATTTAGGATCTTCTTTATCATTCTCAGACTTCTTTCTTCAAAAAGCTCTTAAATCTGTTCCTGCTAAAGTCATTCGTTTTTTATAGAATATTCCTTTAACATATTATAATTATTTAAATGTCTTTATATTTTGTGATCTAATACATTTTCTAGTTAATAAGTTTTCTTCTAAGTTGATATGAAAGTATCGATAAATATTCTTAACATTCCTGCAACATCTTCTTAGTGTTTATAGTCTTGGTCTCAATATAAAGAATATATCATAATTTTATGTTTTGTTCTTTGTCATGGTATTAATCCGAATATCAATAATCCAAAAATATATTCCATTTAAATATTATTAACTTTATGGTATAAAATATCCCCTAAAATAATTCTATAACAGCATCATGCTACCAATGATTCTCTGGTATCAAATGAACATTGACAGCATTGTAATCAATGTGAAAAAAGTTCTCAAATTTGTTGACAACTTTTTTATTTAGTTGCCATTGTCTGCTTTTATATATCCTTGCGTTGTGTCCTTCCATAAAAAAAATGTCCAGAAATACACATTGTCCCAAACATAGCCACAACAAAATTTTTAAATTATGTTCAATGCAATTTCTTTATTTTCTACTAAACTATGTATTTTTGTTGGAAAATTGGCTGGGGCTTGGAGAATCTCTCATACACATCCCATGATATTATTCTCTTCTCTCCTAAAAGGCTAATATTTTCAAATAAAATCATTCCGATTTGTTACAAGTCTTGAATAAAGCAATAATGATTTAAAATTTCATACACGCCTAGAGTAATTATCGTGTAATGTGAAAATATTAAAATATCTTTGCAACCGCAACATGTTCAGACCGAACTCATTATAATTTTCTGTAGAGACGTCACTGTAAAAACAAATACAGTCATTTAACGGCACGGTAAAAACACTGGCCAGCTTGATCAACACACATGCAGCAGTGTCAAATAATTTAATTAACAAAGCTTTATGCAGTAACTTATAATTGTTGACCAAATCTAATGACAATAGTGGACTTAATTGGTAAAGTCCAAGGTACCTTTCAGCGGAATATCTCTCCTCACGGTATCTGTCTCTTTTTTCAGCATATTCCCTTTCGCGATACCGCTCTACGTCTGGCGGACCGCGCCTGTAGAAAGATTCTACTTATTAATAATTACATAATATCTGATTTCTCATCAATTTCGAGTAGAAATATCTTATATGTATGAATAATGTATCTTATATGTATGAAAAACTTAAAGAATTTTTTTTAACATTTAATCTTCAAATCATTATATTAAAAAACATTAAATTATAAAAAAGTGTTAATTGTCAGTGAATATCACTTTACCAAATTATAATTACTAGTCATTACCTTTCCCGGTAATCCCTGCCATCACCCATTTCTCGCCGTTTAGGTATCCTTTCCTCATACTGATTGTATCGGTTGTATCCTAAAATAACAGTAAACATTTTGGTTTCAAGAAGAGGATGATTAAAGAATTAAGAAAATTTAGATTCATTCATAATACAATTACCTCTTGTGTCTTCTCTAGAATGATATTGTTCTTCTTTCTGCCTTCTATGGTAGTCATCTTCAGTTCTATGCTCTTCATATTTTTGGTGCCTACAACATAATCATACCAAAACAATTACTGATTGAACTTGGCTTTTGCAGACACTTTAATTAACAATAAATTGTTTTTAAATAATTTTTTTAAGCAAGTTTTATTATAATAACATGACAAATCTTATAGGAAAAAAAATTGTCACTGCAAATTTAAAATCTATATCATCATTTTGTGAAAAATTAATTTGCGCCAATTTGAATAACCATTTTGACCTGTGTATAAATTTATATTTTTAATAACAAATGCAATGAAAACTACACAAAAGTGTGATGGATTAGGTTTTATTTTAGATATGTTATGCAAATAAGGTGAACACAGTTTAAACAATGCACAGAAGGCACAAATGAAGTTGTACCGAAATTATTATTTTAATCATATAAATTATGTTGTTAGTTATAATGTATACTAATGGTTAAGTTTTTTTGCTGCCTGCCCAACATTAACACTGTATTGAATAATCTGTAAATCTTCAGCACATTGACATATGCATATTGCAATTGAAAATAATTTTAAACAACAAAGAAAAATCACTAATGAATTAATCAATAAGAATTCTCCAGTCGCCTTGTTTTCAAGAAAAAAAAATTTTAAACTTGTTATTTTCACGTAGAAAGTCGGCTATTATTTAATTCGACCACTACAATAAAACTGAAATTTAAACTCATTAGTGATTTTTCTCTATTGTTTTAAACTTTTTTTAATTGCAATATTCGCTTGTCAATGTGCTGAACATTTGCCCAATAATCTTCAAACAAACACAAGAAAAAACTAAAATTATCAAACATATATACAATACCTTTTGTAATCATCAAATTCCTTATATCTTCTGTTATATTCATTGTTAGGATTAACATAATGCACACTCTGAATGTATCTATCTCTGTTTTTATCATATTTATGTTGATATGATGTAAATCTGCAAAATACATTTCATATGTATATACCTCATTAAAAAAAATTTGCAATACTATCAACCAGTTTCTGAAATACTGATCATAATAGAAGTCAACGAATGAGCTGTCTAATGGCTTTTCAATTGTTATTTGAGTTGCCAAAAGGATTGTTTAACTTTCTGAAGCCCTGTTTTTTAAACACTGGTTATCGTAGATGTTAACTAATCAGCTGCCAAATGGCTTTTCAAATGTCATTTGAGATACCAAAAGGATGGTTAAACTCTTTGAATTAATCATTCTGATCATTAAGAAGATAATTCTGGTCAATTCAGAGGGTTTAATCAATCCATTTGGAAACTAAAATGAAATTTGAAAGCTGATTAGTTGACTTCTACAATGGTCAGTGTTTCAAAAACCTGGCATATATTTAATAAAGTGTATTATTAATTAACCTTTCAGTCTGTTCTCTTTCATATCCAAAATGCTCTGGATAAGGTTGATGCTCTTTACTGGATCCTCTGTAAAATCTTTGAACTTCACGTTCTCTCTCATAATTTTCTACAGATGCTGAGCGTCTGTATTCTTTTCTAGATAGAGATAAAGGTTTTAATTAGAAATTAAGTAATTCAATGAAAATTATTATTTTGTTGAATAATTTTTTTTTATTTAGAAATATTACTTACTGATAGTATGTGCGTGGTGGTTGACTTCCTTCTTCGGAAGATGGTTTACGCTCTTTTACAACACTATGTAGACGACGCTCCTGCTCTTCACCTAAGATAAAATAATTTTAGTTATACTTTGTAAACTATAGAAAATCAAATTTTACATTAGTAAAAAAAGAATGTGTGGCTAATTTGGAATCTTACACTGTTATTTTTGAAGACAAATGATATGAGAAAACTCAAATGTTTGAACAATTTTTTTAAGTCACTTACTTTCGCTCTGGGAAGAGTCAACGGAATGCTTTGAATGTTTTTGCTTATGTTTTCTTTTCTTTTTTGACGTAATTTCACCCTCACTTAGAGAAGAGATATTTTCTGCAGAAATACGAACTACAGAGTCTGAACGCCTCTTCTTCTTTCCATGTTTCTTCTTCTTTTTCTTATGCTTCCGTTTTTTAGAGCGTTTCTGATCGTCAGACGCACTATCAGAATCCGAAGAATCAGCACGTTTTCTTTTCTTCTTATACCGATGCTCTGATACAGAGGAATCGTCACTATCGCTATCTGACGAACTACTAGTTTTATCACTAGCATTCGAATCATCGGATACTTCTGATGAAGAATGGTGGCGCTTTTTAGATTTCATTTTAATTTAATTGATATCAAAGACTTGTTCAAGTTAACAAAACACGATGTTCGAGTACTAAGCCACAGAACACCACAGATCACAGACCACAGACAGATGCACCACAGACTGCCACCAGATAAAACACTCAATTAATTTCAGTTCAAAGTAAATAAAATAAAAGTACTCTTTAGTCTTTGACTGCCGCTGCTATCAGGGTGCCCATCTCAATGATGGTGAATCTGCCCGACACTAGCTGGAGTTCTTTGGCAGATTGTGGCAGATTTTTTAGCTGCCATAATCTGCCAAACAACTATGCCATCATATTATTGTACCGATGGAGAAAGAACAGTATAATTACTGAAATAGACATTTTCACATGAGTCATTTGACATCTTTTCGTGGTCGTTCCTCACTACTGAGGATCGTGACATATTCAATTGGTCAACGAGCTTTCTCAATCGATTTCGCTTTGCCGCCTGGTGGAGTGGGCGCTTATGGGAATTACTAGGTATTCAGAAATTTGATCCATCTACCTTTTAGGATTACGGCCTCTAGGTCTTTTACCTTAAATTTTCCCCATTTAACATGGGCAAACTTAAAAGAACTTTTGCAAAGTTTGAAATATTTAAAAAGTAAGTTAAGAGTTTTGGTTTTACTTTAAAATATCTTTAGGAATAATATTTGGTAACAACTGCAAGCTTTGCAAAATGTAACATCAGGATCTTCCTTGCCTGTGGAAATCCAGGAAGAAAGTAAAGCATCTTGTTTCAACTCAGGTCGGTATGAACGCTCGTATTTCATTTTCATCATGCAGGACACAACTACTCGCATTAAACGCCAAAAAAGAATAAGGTATAAAATTAGAAAATACAACAAACATTGACATTAATCTTTATTAGTTATATTAATAACAAAATAAACCTTATTGTTGATTTGTTACCGTACATAATCATATGACCATTAAAATACAATATCGGTAAATCCCCGTATTAAATAGCATGGGATGAAAATTTTCACATCCAAAAATAATTCTTCTGCCACTTCTGAATCGTCAGCCTAATCTGCCACAGCTAAAATTTAGGTGCAAAATCTGCCATAAATGGTCACACTGACTGCCACTGCCACAGAATCACAAATATTTACTGCGTCTGTAGCACATACAAATATATTTTGTTTTTAGTCTCTAGCCTTTAGGGACAAATTAATGTCTGAGACGACTGGCTAATGGAGGGATAGATCAAGCGAGAATTGAATGTTAATTGTGAACTAAATACTAACGTCATCTATTAAATTTTAAACATAAGAATATAGCATAAATTATTTCATAGATATTACATAAATATAAAAAAACGTGTGTGTGATTTGCCCTAGATTTTTGTACGGTTGGCTTTTGAGCTGTCGTTGTGCGCGCGCATCGAAAACAATTTAATAACTTCCAAATGTGCCAAAAGCAGTATAACTTCAAAAACTGCCGTAGAAACTGAATAATAGTAATTAATTGAATTATATTAATTACTAGCTACCCACCCCGGCTTTGCACGGGTGCAATGTGCTATACATATAACCCTTCCTCTTGAATCACTCTATCTAGTTAAAAAAAAAACCGCATAAAGATCCGATGCGTAATTTTAAAGATCTAAGCCTACACAGGGACAGACACACGGCGGGACCACTTTGTTTTATACTATGTTGTGATTATCAGACAAATAAATGGTTGCACAACAAATGCACAGATATTTCCGGCAAAATAATCGGGCTTCAGGAAATCCCATAGCACTGCGATCGCTTTGATAGATGTAGTGAATAATATCCTGATTCCTGACACCACAAGACGCTTGGAAGCACCTTGTTAGTCTTGTTAGACATTTTTGTGCTTTTGACACAATTACCATAACACTGCTCTTGTCTAAATTGGCGTATTATGGATTTGGAAATTCCACACTTAGGTGGTTTTCAAGTTAATTAACTAATTGTCTCCAATACTCCAAAATGGATCCTCAATGGTGTCTTCAAATGGTTATAAGTTGTTAATTTTAACGTTCAGCTTAACTTTTGTTAGAAACATATTTAATATGAATTTGATGAATATTGTAACTCTATAATTTTCTGTTGTTATTACTTACATATAATAAATAAAGTTCAGTGTATTAGATTAAATTTGAAAGAATTTGTAAAGAGAAAGTAATACACATTTCTTTCGCATTTAATACTGGTTTTTACATCCCCGCGTTTCGACTTAATGCCTTTGCAACTTTAATGAGTCAATTAAGGGAACAGAATAACCATGAAACAATGTGTAGCATTCTCGTGAGCACAAGATAACATTATGTGGACGAAATATATTACAAAAAAAAACATGATTATATCCATTACGAAAATGTTTCTCAACAACTAGTTTGTAACCTAGTAACGAGTTACTGTCGATGAATGGTTTTTTCATAAATCTTGTTGTAATTGATTTCGAAATTTAATTTCCATTAGGGATCGATCGACCCAGGTATGTTTCGCGTTAAATCTCAAATTCAGCCTTATTGCTTCCTCCAGAGTTCACGTTGTTCCCCAATGGTTTGATACCCAATTTGAGGAACTCTCGGATCGAGGTCTGATCCCCAATTTGAGGAACTTTCAGATCGTGTCTTCCATGTCCTTGTTAATCGAATTGTCCATTTTTCGTCAACAAAGCTCGCGAAGATACAATGAAAAGAACGTCCTCATCGTGTTATCGTCGTGCACTAGCTACGTTTTTCCCCTAAGTCAGTCCGTGGGACTGGAACGTCTTCCTACGGTTGGATCTCTTCCAACGAAGATGTCACAACCACCGTAAAAACCTGTACAAAACAATACAAACATACATTTTAAACAATCGTCATGAATACTATAATTTCTATAAATCTTAATGAAAATTATTAAATATTAAAGTTTATAATTTTTTTATTATAGTAACTTGACTTGAGGACAAGAATCTTGTCAGGTAAATCACAGAATTTGGCCGACCACGAAATTCATTGTCATGTCTTGACAAATTGACAATTTCAATTTGACATATCTAATTAATACTATACGATTTTATCGAACGGGAATAATTTGTGATAAACATATTTTAAAATGAAAACATTCCATTACTCGAAATTTGTTATAAAAAGTTAATGAATCTTATAATACCTATTGTTATCTGATGTTTGTTTCGAAACCATAAAAATAAAGAGAGGTTTAACTTAACTTATTGCTTATTTATATTATAAGTGATGGCTATGAGAAAAAGAAGTGGTTCAGGGTCTAAAAGACATCTTAAAGGAAAAGTAGTGCAGATTTATGAATCGTTCTTTAGAGGAGAAGACTTAACAAGTGATAATCCTACATTTTGGGATGAGTTCTTTTTGCTTAAACCAAAAATTCCTCAATTGGAAGCTGAGATACAAAAACTGTCAGCAGAACAGCTTATTAACATGAAGGATAACATCAACTTACTGGTAACACAATGCATAGAAATGTTAGGCCAAGAACACCATATTAGGTATATATTTTTATCTTTTTTCACAAGAAGTTGTTTTTTATAGATTATATTATCTTACCAATTAAAGAAACATTATTTTCCACTTACCGATATCAAATACTATAACTATTACTACTATAAATATTATATTCATTTCAAGTTAAGTAAATGTTTAAATAAAAGTAAATGTTTTCTTTAAATGTTTAAAGTATTAAAATATTAAGAATTCTAAATCACATACTTAATCTTTACAATTAAAGACTTACACCCTGATTAGTTAATTTCTATGATGATCAGTGTTTTAAAAACCGGGCATCAGAAGATCAATGGACTAATAATAAGATTGGCACCAATTGTTCTTTCTATTTATAGAGAGCCGATTTTCTTATGTTTATTTACATGTTTTCCAGGCTGGTATATGCTCTTCAAACATTTAGTGCACTTTTGACAACAATGTATCAAAGAGCTGCTCAGGATTCAAACATAAACATAAGATTTATTTTACTTGACAATGACAATTGTAAAATGCAGAAATTATTAGAGCATTGCAGCAATATTCTGTCAGGTATGTAGATTTTTTTTTAGGGTTCTGTAACTCAAGAGATAAAAAAGGAACCTTGTATTAACTGATGTTTGCTTTCATTCCCAAAAAGGAACACTTAATAATGTCATACTCTTGTCCATCTGTCAATCTACCCGTTCCCTAGAAATTGTGTTGACTCAGAATCTTGACTTTTATACACCCAATAGGGGACTATAGACCTCAGAATCTGGTATAAATTTCAACTTGCTAGGTCCACCCGTACCTAAGAAAATTGGTGGTTATTATTAACCAATTTTATTATGGCGGTATAATGGGTAGGTATGTTACTCTCGGCGTACGAGTTCGACTCGATGATGTAAACACGCTAGCTCAGTTCGTATCTCTCCACATCTGTGCTGTTGTGTACTTACCCAAAAACACCAGGCATGAGTAGATTGTTAATGTGCATCAAGAAAAGAGTTGTGAAATGAGACGGAGTGGCATGCACTGGAAGGTATGGGGACATTTTAGTGTCTCATCCGCGAGTTGTAGATGCTGCTGCGCTGGTGTAGAAATCTGATTGGATGGCACTGGTCTCCTCCTGCGAAAATGTCATGGTCCAGAAGGAAATCACTGAGCGGGTTCGGGAGAGGGTGGATCCCACATGGAGACAAAGACTTCTAGCCAGCACAAATAGATGTGCTGCCTCGTCAGCACTGTAATGCCGGGCTAATAGATTAGAACCTATGTATCCCCTTGCCTGTCGTAAAAGACGACTTGAAGGGGATGTTAGATTCATAAACTAGCAACAGTGCGGAGTGCTCTTGCTAGTCTATGCAAGATGGTGAGGATATCGGAGAAGATTCATCCGTCTCCGAGGCGTGCTGAAGCGCTGTACCAAGGGACACCGGTTCGTTCCATGGGAGAGATGAAGGCGTCTGGTGCAGAATATGGGGTTCGTGAGGCTCGCTAGTTGAACCGGCTGGGTGTTGTAGCACCCGAGAAGCGAGGCTTAAGAAGGCCATAGTCGTTCCGGGGGTCGCGAAGATTGCGTTTTCTTACGATGCGACAGAGACAGATGCAACGTGATTTTTTTAGTGTGTACCCGTTTCTGACTGGAACTCCCACATACCCCTGCCCCTCCCCTGTCCCGTGGGAGTTGATGCATAAAGGATTTTTCCACGTCAAAAGAAAAAACCAAAAATTGGCATGACTACCTTTGTTTACCTAACCTGCACTAGCTTCCAGGACTTAGGGATTACTCCAGTCTCAAATGAGTGGAGCAACCTTTAGAACTAACGCCGGCATATCATCTGCCGGCATACCATTTATACCATACCAGGCACACGCCTAGACTCTTTTAAAACCTCGCGATTTCTTATTTAGAATTAAAAAATAATAATAATAAATATAAATAGTAAATATAAATAATAAATATAAATAGTAAATATAAATAATAAATATAAATAGTAAATATAAATAATAAATATAAATAATAAATATAAATAATAACTATAAATAATAAATATAAATAATAAATATTTAAATAAATATTTTAGGACGCATTTTTTTACACAACGTTCTCTAGTCCCAAACTAAGCAACGCTTGTATTATGGGTACTAGAAAACTGATAGACATACTTAAACATACATTTCTTTTGTAAATAAATACATAATATACATAAATATACACCCAGACACTAGAAAAACACTATGGTCATCACACAATATTTTTCAAGTAGTGGGGATCGAACCCACACCCTCTGGCGCAGAAGGCAAATACACTACCGACTACGCCATTCGGGTCGTCATAAAATTTGGACCTCAGTTAGTTAGTTAGTTAGTTATACAGTGGGGGAGTGAAGGTTACATTGGTACCTGGCCAGTAGAAGTTAAATTTGACAGCTTTGGCAAGAGACCAGAAAGCCCCTCTGTCAAATGGTTGGGCAGAGAGCTTCGCGCAGATTATTTGAATACCAAATCAAATTCACCCCGCTGCAATTTAAATGTATATTTAATGTGGAATTTTGTTGTAGGTGATGTCCCAGACAGTCTTAAGTCTATGGTATTAAAACTACTTTTAGTTGTAGCTACAGGCGTTGACAATATTGATGACAACCCACTTGTAGAATACTTAATGTTAAATTCCCTTTTTGAACCACTAATACAGTTATTGTGTACTTCTACGGAGAGACAGCAACATGGTAAGCTGAACTATATTTTTTCAATTTCATTCACAATTATTGTTCTGTCATTATATATATATATATATATATATATATATATATATATATATATATATATATATATATATATATATATATATATAAATCAATGTCTAAATAAATATCTTACGTTTACTACTCATATTATAAAAGCCAAAAAATTATAATTTATTAAACTGTGTTATTCATTCATAATGATAAATGATTATTATTCATAAATGATAAATATATTTTATTGCAGAATTTTAAACAAAAAATAAATAAAATTTTACAGGTTATGATGTAGTGCTGTTGCTAATGTTTTTGGTCAACTACAAGAAACAGGAGTCAGCTAATCCATATGTGGTTAAGCTTTCTATTCTTGATGATGAATTGGCTCTCAATGGGTGAGCTATTTTCCACATGCATAAATACATAATTATACAGTGTGTCGTTACAACCTTGACAATAAATGAACACATGTCTAACGCTACTTGCCAATAATCATAAAAAAATATAACACGTTAAAAGAAATGCATAGTAAAATTTTTTTTTACTATGCATGCAAAAATCAAACAAACTAATTAAACAAAATTTGTAACATCCTACACAACTACAACTGACTGATTCATACATTCAGAGATTTTTTCATTCGTTGCCATAACGTCGCTTTACAAGTCTCTTCTTCTAACAGTATGTTTTCTTTTAAATTCATTCAAGCAATTCATATGCTTTGTGACCTTTACAAATGAACTTTACGTCACAGTTTTATACGTAAGGGTGTTCTAAGAATGTTTATTTTGTAAAATTTAATAACTCGGTAAATATTGATGTTTAAAGAATGTAAATGCTTAATACAATTTTAAAAAGTTATCCTCTATATGTGTGTTCATTTATTGTCGCGGTTGTAACGACACGCTGTATACCTAAATACCACATAGTTCTTAATGTTACTATACACTTGACTGTACTTATTATGTATTAATTCTTGAACATTAGATAGAAGACATTTCAAATTAAGTGAGCAAGAAAAATAATTCATTTATGTGGATCACATTATTCTGAAATCGTTTGTATGATTAAAATAATAAATTAATCAACTGATTAATGCTTTTTGTACAGATATGGTCAAGTTATTACAGCTGCTCTAAATGACTATGTTATGTCAACATTTGGAGGTATGCAAGGCGGTGGCAATGGCAGTGGTTGGCTCTCTTCCCTTACAAGTATGGTTGGTGGGATATTTCTTACCAGCGATGACACACAGCCAGTTATTCGAGGGCAAAGACCCAGGTTGTTGCTTTCATAAGTTTTGAACAGATCTGTTACACATTAACATGAAACAATTGTTTACTTTATTATTGTAAATTGTTTTGTAATTCATTAATATGTATAATTTAAAAAAAAATCGTACTTAAGTTTTGAAAAACATTCAGCTAGCATTTCCTAATTCACTCACCACTAAGACTTTACAACAAACTTATTTAAACCTTGATGAAATTGACAGACAACAAGGGCTCTTCATATTTCCTGATAATGTTAGAGTTGTGGCAACTCAGAGTCTAAGCGCTTGTTTTTTAATTTAATATACATTGACAACCTGAGTTCAATTCCTGGTGTCGTCAACAATTAAATGATAATTATTAGTTATGACTTAAAATATATGAATATATGAGTCTTCACCGTTTGGATTTTTGTATATTTAGGTAGTTTTTAAAAAAAATCAATACGATGCAACTGTGTATGATGATGGTCGTAGTTAACCGCAACAATTTTCGCTGTTGCACGAATGGGCAGGTCCAGCAGTACCACGACCTCACAGAAGTTGAATTTATATTATTTATATTTTCGTCCGGTGAGTGAGGTAGCCGGAGTCCACTTTATTAAAATGTGGAAACGCATCTACAACCCTACGGGTTTTTCAAATGTCAATTGACGGCGGTTATGACATAACATCAGGTGAATCACCAGTTCGCTTGTTACCCTTTAAAAAAATCATTAGAATTAAAAAAAAAACAATTTATTCGTCAGAATTCAATAGATTAAGATGCATGTTGTTTCTGTAGTCACCTTTTCTTTTACGTTTGCGCCACAATTTAACTTGTTTAAACGCTTAGGTGAACAAATTTAGACACAAATGAAATATAGTAAATAATTATTATTCGATGTTTTGACATCGATAACATTGAAACCAAAATAAAACATCACTGCTTTATTTTTGTAACAAATTTAATAAGCTTATACAGACTAATTAAAGTTGGTACTAATCGCGATATTGGATAGATATTGGCAGGTATACACAGTACAGACTGAAATTTTCTTACTACATAGAAATAAGGAAAACATATTTTTACCTAGCAACAATTTTCACATTGACCGTTAACGTATATCGGTTAACAGTGTAGTTTCCCAACTATATTATGGCTATCACGTCTCTGTTGTACTCGTAGTAAAAAATATTTTTTAATAAACCGACTTGATGGTTCATACGTATTCTGTATTCGGCTAAATTGGTTTAACTCGTCAGCGGCGGCGAGGAGGGCATGCTGCTTGCCCTATACGAGGCGGCACACTTGAATCGCAACTTCATGACGACTTTAGCGCATTCATCGTCGGCAGCCGCCTCTTCCGCCCCACCGTCCCCGCCGGCCACCTTACCGCCACATCAGGTACTGTTTGTAATCTTATATTTTTATTACTTGTAGCTGTGTTAGTGCAACGACCTTGCTGAAGACCGGCGTGAAGTATAGGTGTTACACTTTTGCGTTTCGTCTGGTGAGTGAGGTGGCCGAGGCCCAATTTATTTAAAGGCGGCAACGCATCGGCAACCCTACAGGTGTTCCAAATGTCCATGGGCGGCGGTTATCACTCAACATCAGGTGAACCGCCAGCTCTTTTGCCACTTTGTCACATAAAAAAAAACTTGTTCATGTGAAAGATCTATTGGCGCGTTTTAGTAGTAATACCGAGATTTAACCGGCAAACGGCATGATGTAAATCGTGGTAGGGCCACGCTTAGAATAAGGCCAAAAACTGGCAGCAGGTCGAAGTGGTCTCGAGCTGTTGCAAAATGGTGAGCGAATCGGGGAATGATTATGGCGTGCTCATACGCGGTATCTAACGTACAGAAGGTACCCGAGGGGGTTTTAGTGGGTACGAACACCACAGAATTCTGTCAAGTGAGCAATGACAGGGTTAAACTAATTGACAGATTTCATTGGGATTTATTTTTAGGTTTGAACTTTTTTCTGTACAACAAGCGTTACTTTTATTGAAAGTGTAAAAGTAAAACAGAAATTATAATGGTGTTTGTAACGAGATTGAATTGTATATGAAGTTGTCAAAATATACCCTGAGTTGTTTTGGTAAATTTGTTTTTCATTTTCAGACTCCACCGAATTTAGCGCAAATTCAAGCGCTCGACAGTGACCAACCAACCAACCTCTTGGTAACATTCTTCCAATATTGGTAAGAGCTAATTCATAGGTATCCCATATATTTTCATTTTATCTTAGTATTAGTTTCTCTTTAAGAATTAATGTATTGACTTCAATCTGAAGACTGACTACTTACTGAATCTTATAGTTGATCATTATTACTACAGAAATACAAAAGTTTTTTTTTTACTTTTGTTCGTCTATTTTATGATAGTCATGTCCTTATAAAAGAAAAAGATAATGACGTCTGTGTATATTTTTTACTATATTATAGTATCCCACTAGTATTCCACATAGATAATGACGCACTTTGCGTCCCGTCTAAAATTAGTCTGTACCTTAAGTAGTTCAGTTTGTCGTTCGCTTTGAGAGATTAATAAATTGTTATTAAAACCGGTTAAGGGCAAAAAAATGTCTCTTGTAGGGGCCCCACTTAAATATTTTTTTTATCTGTTTTTTAGTATTTGTTGTTATAGCGGCAACATAGGGATCCCGTTCTACGGGACCCTGTTACTAAGACTCCGCTGTCTTTAGGTACGGAACCCTAAATGAATGTTTTAAAGAGATGTTGTCTCATATACCGTTCGTTTGAAGAATATAATAAATTTATTGTATTTGACGAAAGTAAATGAATACGCCGAAAAAAAGAATAAATTAAAAAAACGTATATATAGCCAAAAAGTTACAACGAGTTCAAGATGACAACGAGAAAAGATTTATTTTTAATTTTAGGTTTGGGTCTTGTAAAAGGAACTATTTTTTTTAATTTAGGCTTGGTTCGTGTTTACCATTATTCCAACAGTACTCTTATTTATTTCAGTTCCGTGGTCATGGCGGACAGGAAGACCGAAGCGAGTATAAACAAATGCAGCTTATGTTTTATCACCTTGACCTGCATTGTTGAGGAGCAATTTGCCAACTCCATTATGCACGACCAAAATTTAACTTTTAAGGTAAATGTAAAATGTTACCTGTGCCTAATACCGTATACAGCGTGTCTTTACCATCGCGACAATAAATGAACACACATATAGAGGATAACTTTTTAAAATTGTATTAAAGATTTACATTCTTTAAACATCAATATTTACCGAGTTATCAAATTTTCCAAAACAAAGAATTTTAGAACACCCTTACGTATAAAACTTTAATGTTAAGTTCATTTGTAAAGGTCACAAAGCATATGAATGGGATGAATGAATTTAAAAGAGACAAAACATACTGTTAGAAGGAGAGGCTTGTAATGCGGCGCTGTGGCAACGAATGAAAAAGTCTCTGAATGTATGAATCAGTCAGTTGTAGTTGTATAGGATGTTACAAATTTTGTTTCATTTTTACTTAACTAGTTTGTTTGATTTTTTTTTTATTATGAATTTTTTTAACGGTAATATTTTTTTATGATTATTGGCAAGTAGCGTTAGATATGTGTTCGTTTATGTCGCGGTGGTAAAGACACGGTGTATACTTACATAAATTGTTAGTTTTTTTTGCAAAATTAAATGTGAAAAGGTTGTCCTATCAGATATGGCTGAATATTTAATCAGTAAAAGATATTATGCAATAGATTCTATTACTTTTTTTGGATCCACCACCAGTCACTTATAAGTTCAGGCCTGACTCAAACTTAAGCAACTAATCTATCAAATTAACTTTACCTCAATTCTTTACAATGTTAGTAATAAAAAGAATTAAAAAAAATATAAGCATAGAATAGTGAGGAAACGACTAAGAAGAAGAAGAAGCACAGAAATTGACCAACACAGCAGTTCAATGCCATTGATTCAACTCAGGCTGAATTTAATTTTTGGATTTTATTGCGTATCTGTTTTACAGGTTCAACTGTACAGGCTACCGATGCGGCACAGGAAAATAGTACCAGAAGAGCCGCCGTCGCAGCCACTGGCTTCTACCCTAATAGGTATTATTTGTTTAATACACACTCAATACAGATGTCGCAATGATCGGAGTCTAATTTCCTTTTTTTCCTTTTGTAAGACAAAAACTTCGGCCCCCTAGAATCTGCCGCCCTATGGCTCTAGTCTAGTTAGCCTGCTGGTAAATGCACCGCGTCTAAAGCGTTGCCCGTCCCGCAGACCTGCTCGTTGAGTTCATGATGTGCCACCTGCTGAAGAAGTTCCCCGGCGAGCTGTACTCCCTGTGCATCGGAGTTTTGCTCCGGCTGCTGAGCTACCAGAAGCGCAGCCGGGTGCGGCTGGCGCGCGACTGGCGCCCCCTCTGGGCGGCGCTGATCGCCCTGCTCAAGTTCCTCGTCACCAACGAGACGGCTCTGCTCCGCAGGCACAACATCTTCGTGATGGCCCAGCAGGTAACCGGAGTTGTCCGTCGCGACCGGAGCTGTTGCACGAACGTGCCGGTGAATCACGTGAGGCTCGAAAGGGGGGTAGATGGTTTGGCAAAAATCACGAAACATCACAAGGGGTATGTGGGGGGGGGGGGGGGGCGTGTAGTAAGATACCACGTGTGTTTATTTTTTCGTCAAACGAGCGATCTCTAAATTAAAAAGCGTCGTGACCTTGACTCGCCGTTACATTTTTATCGTGGTTCTTGATTTCAGAATAGAAACTGGATTATGCTGCCTGTATTTATATATAAGATGATATTCTAAAAATTTTAAGATTCTTTGTAGGTACTAAAAAATACACGTCAATTCGGGTGGGGTTGAGGGTAGTCTTAAACCTCTCCACGTATCACCAAGGGGGAGGAGGGAGTTAGAAAATGCCTGAAAAAACATAACGTGATTAATGGACGGCCCCTAAGCACCTCGACCTATCAGAAGAGCGGCATGAAGTGGTAGTGTCATACCTCCGCATTTCGTCTGGTGGCAAAGTATCTGCAAACCTACGGTTGTTGTGAATGTCCATGGGAGACCGTTATCACATAACATCAGGTGAACGGCCTTCTAGTTTGACAATTTTTCACATAAAGAAACCTTAATTGTGTTCAGTGAAATTACTTTAAACTTTAGTTTTGTGCATTAAAATTTGTAGAAAAAAGGAACGAAAAGTTTCGCGAAGTGAATCGAACCCACGCCTTCTGGATTCGCGCCCTGACGATCTAGCCACTAAGTTAAACGGCTGATTGCGACACCGACTAAATTCGCAACGTCCTATATCTACATTGTTTTTAAGCATTTGAAGCAGTGCTTGGCGCATCCATTGTTTTAATCTTCGTTTATGTATATGTGGGTCCATAAGAGTTCAACATAGGCAACTTGACTAACTAGTCGCTGTTCAAAGTCATCGCATTAACGCAGGTTGTGAACATCTTCAACCTGTTTATAACGTTCGGCGACACGTTCCTGCCGACGCCTGTGTCCTACGACCAGCTTTATTACGAGCTGATACGGATGCACCAGGTCTTCAACAATATCTTCTTTATGGGTGAGTAGGTATATCCCAATTAAATCACTGCATGATATTATTTCGTTCAGATATTCACAATAAGGAACAAGCGGCTTTATTACCAATAGAATATATGGTCAGCGACTAATAATAAAAATATAGTTTATTAGGATAATTAAAAATAGTTGAAGAAATAAATTGAAAAACTATATTTAGTAGCTTTTAACTTAAAAAATATCTACTAGAAACTTAAATGATAAATTCTTATCTTCTGTCAAAGCCAAATTCCTTTAAATTCCCCATCAACCGCTTTAAGCACTGCGCTACTCCACCGGTGACGGGGAGTACAAAGCGGAGGCGCTCCGCCTGGCCAATTGTCTGGTAAACGTACGCGCCATCATACAGCACTTCCCGCCGAAGATCGACGCCTGGCTCAACTCGCAGAGCCTCTCCACGCCCACCGAAGATCAGGTAGTACAACGTTAACGGAAGACTCAGTGGCCCAGTTGCTAAAATATTGGTCGCGGGTTCGACTCCCATACGAGACAACTTGTGTGACCCACAGATAACCGTTACAGATCTGGGTGTTTGTCTTCGTGAAAATTATATATGTAAAACGACCTTACAACTCAGGATAATGTTATCCTACATTAAGAGGCAATTTTGTGGTTAAGACTACAATAGATTTTTAGATCGTTTTTGGGGTTCCGTATCCAAAGGGTAAAACGGGACACTATTACTAAGACTCCGCGGTTTGTCTGTCTGTTCGTCTATCACCAGGCTGTATCTCATGAACTGTGATAGTAAGACAGTTGAAATTCACAGATGTATTTCTGTTACTGCTATAACAAATACAAAACAGAATAAAAAAATATTTAAATGGGGCTCCTATACAAATTTTTACAAATAACGGTTCCGTCCCTTCGTACGCGAGTCCGACTCACACTTGGCCGGCTTTATTTTATTACAGTATTTTCATTTGCACTAGTATAAAAACGCGAGGAGCTGTATACTGTGATAGATTTCTCGGAGGGTCCGTTCTATTCGGTAACGGATAACTTTCCCAGATACTGGAGGTGGTGCGCCAGAACTACGACAGTCTGATACTGAAGCTGCAGGAGGGGCTGGAGGCGTACGAGAGGTACTGTGAGCGCGAGCACAGGGTGCTGCTGGCGAGGCTGGTGCGCGCCGCGGCCGGCTGCGCCAGGGCCTCCAGCGACGCGGCCGCGCTGCACCGCCACTCGGCGGCGCTCCTCTCCCACTACACCTCCGCCGCATGAACCCCTCCCACTACGCGACGGTCGCCTGAACCTCTCCCACTACGCGACGGTCGCCTGAACCTTTCCCACTACGCGACGGTCGCCTGAACCTTTCCCACTACGCGACGGTCGCCTGAACCTTTCCCACTACGCGACGGTCGCCTGAACTTTTCCCACTACGCGACGGGCGCCTGAACCTTTCCCACTTCGCGACGGTCGCCTGAACTTCTCCCACTACGCGACGGGCGCCTGAACCTCTCCCACTACGCGACGGTCGCCTGAACCTCTCCCACTACGCGACGGGCGCCTGAACCTTTCCCACTTCGCGACGGTTGCCTGAACATCTCTTACTACAGGACGGTTGCCTGAACTCCCACTACACCACCGTCGCCCGAACCTCTCCCATCTCACGACGGTCGCCTGAACATCTCTTACTACACAACGGTCTGCCTGAACATCTCTTACTACACGACGATTGCCTAAACATCTCTTACTACACAATGGTCGCCTGAACCTCTCCCACTACGCAACAATCACTTGAACCTCTACTACGCGACTGTCACCTGAACCTCTCCCAGTGCAGGACAGTCGCCATAACCTCTCCCACTGCACGTCACCGCTCGATCGACATCTTCGTCCAAATTCGTTGTCGTACCCTAAGTTCGTCCGAATCGCGCAAAATGAAATGCACCCCAGTGAAGTTGGATACAGATTGCGAAAACCGCGTATGGTACGGTCGCGGAGCAGGAATAATTTCGCCGTCGATCTGTTATTGACCATCACGTTCGCGCGACTGCCATCATCAGAGAGCGTGACGGCAATATATTTACGCGCGACAGAAAAATCGTGGCAACAATAGGCCAATGTACGAAAACGTATGAAAAAATGTTTGCAACCAGACGAGATATAGTTGCTAATTATAAACTCCAAGAGGTGTTTACAGATCCATTCCTATAATAGCAATGCTGTGTGTGTGCAAATTATTGGGTTGCCACGCACATTTAGTTCACATCGCCGAAGACGTTGCCGTTCGCTTTTGTGAAAAAAAAAGGGGTTGTTTTTAATGTTGGGTGACACTGAACGCCTATTGTGCGACGGCAAATGCGTTAAACTAACGGAGCCGACTTCACTCTGGTACATTTAAGCATTGAACGGCCGGTACGGTTCGTTGCACTTGTATCATAATTTTAACATTGCGGAACCATTATGTAAGTCGAAGTACCAAAACCAATAAGATCTAAGACCCGTAAACAAAAGAACTCATAACGCTTCGAAAACAAATCGACCAGTGACGTAAAAACAACGTTCTTGAAACGAAGTTCCTTAACGCAGATTCCTATTTTGTAGGAATCGTTACGTAAGGATAAGCCGTTAAGCTTCACCATTCAGTTGTCTGTCTATGTACCTTTCCAACACACGCTAGTTGTTTGAGCAACAGTTTCTTTTATTTAGTAGATATCTGTCTTTTTTATTTAAAATTCACTCTTCTTTATTTAGTTTTCATTAAATCAATAGTCTTTCCTAAAGTATTAAATATCTTTTTTTTTTATTTCATTCCCTTACATTATTTGCATTGAAAAAATTATACAGCGCGTCGTTACCATCGCGACAATAAATGAACACACATATATAGGAAAGCTTTTAAAAATGGTATTAAACATTTACATTCTTTAAATATCAATATTTAACGAGTTATTAAATTTTCCAAAACAAAGAATTTTAGAACACCCTTACGTATAAAACTGTAACGTAAAGTTCATTTGCAAAGGTCACAAAGTATATGAATGGGTTGAATGAATTTAAAAGAAAACATACTGTTAGAAGAAGAGGCTTGTAATGCGACGCTGTGGCGCGAGTTGTTTAGGATGTTACAAATTTTGTTTCTTTTTTACTTAATTAGTTGTTTGAAAAATATTTTTTTTTAATTATGGATTTTGTTTAACGTTAATATTTTTTTTTGATTATTGGTAAGTAGCGTTAGACGTGTGTTCATTTATTGTCGCGATGGTAACGACACGCTGTATAACATAAATTTTACTTCAATGAGGAGGACGCTTATTAAGTTATGGTAAATTCGTCGAGGGTGGGGGGAGGGGGGGGGGTGCCCTTTGAATGAATGAACCTCATGTTCATATAGAAATTATTATTATTGATGGCATTTAACCCGTTCTGCCACGCCATTGAAGTGGATCTTCAAGGCGGGATATCTTCAAAACATGACCTGTACCACAGACTAAAGAATCCCAGTTACATATTATATCACAATCATTAAAGTGCATCATCAAACCATTAAGGAGAAACAGCAATCAGTAGTTAAATAGAGTATGTTAGAATACTATTAGGCCAAGTGGAATATCGTGGACAGTCCTGCTATTGCCGTTTTTTTTAATCGTGTTTTTACCTAACTATGCTAGTCATCTCAACATTTTGATGCGACTTTTTTACCAAACCAACTTTTTCCACCAAAGCGCCAGAGTCAATTTTTTGTTATTTGCTTTCAAGGAGTTTGACGCCTTAAAACATTTACCTAAGCAATTTCCAATAATATTACTAGTAAAAAATCATGAGTGCCCTTTATTTAAGCAGACATAGTTACTTTTAGATGTTTTATTTACCTATGCGTTTATGTTTAGTAAATATATAACTTTATCCATGTAATATACTTATATTTTGCAAAAAGTATTGAAAGGGTTTCAAATTGTATAAGAAAAAACCAGTTGCTTTATAAAAATTTAAATGCATTAAATGTTAAACTATTCTTATCATAAATGTAGCTATGTCCTTTAGATCTATATTTCATATCTAAACTATGATTAAAAATTTTCAACTCGAAAATAATAACTGTAAAAACGTATAACATCAGTTAAACTGAGAAATGTTAGTTTTGCATGTGCAACGAAAAGGATGAATTTAATTCGGGATTAACATCAGAGGCCAGATTTTATGCATAGTAAAACTATCAAGTTCGTTGATGGTTATACCATGCATAAATTCAGTCTAATGATAAAAGCTAAATTTGAATCACCCTAATTGTGTATAAAAATAAAATATAACATGTAATATCTTATCAATGACTTAAATTATTGTAAACCGATTTATTCTATACATAATTTTACAAACTTTGACCAGGCACCACCTTGCACCAATAGGCAGACTCGTCCGGGTAAGTACCACACCTCACACAAGACCGGCATCAAGTGGAAGTATAATACTTTCGCGTTTCGTCAGGTGAGTGAGGTAGCCGGAGCCCAATTTCCAAAAAGGTTGTCAACGCATCTGCAAACCCTCGGATGTAGTTAGCAAATGTCCATGGGCGGCGGTATTCACTTAACATCAGATGAACCGTTTGCTAGTTTGGTAGCCTTTCACATAAAAAAAAGTTAATTAATGAGTTTATTTACTACTGTAATCCCTTATGTATATGATGTCATCAATAATAACTCATTACTCGTTGGCTATAAATTGTACGATATTCAGTTATATGAGTGTTTATTCACTTATTAACAAGCCTTTGTAAAACCGTAAACTAATAACAGATGTTCAATATCAATTTATTTTTAAGAAATGTTATATTTTTTAAATAATAAATTTAAAGACTGAATAAACGTCTTTAATTTTTTCAACTCGGACACCAAATTCTATATAACGTTGGAATGATATTATTTTTGTACCCTGTTAAATGTAAGCAATCAAGCTTAAAATAGTCTTCGATTCTTTATGTTAAAACCTAAAATTTTACATTTAAACCTATTGTATATATAAACGTAAAATTTTAGTTTTCCAATATAATATTCTTCACTGTCAGATTCAACCTTAGGTCGCAAGTAGAATAAATGTTCCAACCAGGCCACCAGCTATAGCTAGATCAGCTTCCTCTATTAGCTTAACGAACGCAAGCTCAAGGGCCACATTTACCCCCAAATTTCAAACATCGTTCGTTCACAAAATATTAGGCAATAATTAAACTATAAGATTGCCTGGAAGAAATTGCTGCCTTAGCAATAAGGCCGCCTATATGTTCACTATGTTTCCTGTATTTTCTTTCTATGTATCTCCTTGTGTGCAATAAAGTATATTCTATTCAATATGTACATTACTAGAACAAATTTAATCGCAAGGGAAATGCTGAAACAATAGTAGATAATATCATCCCCGCCGGTCTGACCGGAAAGAGATTAGTTTACTCGATCTGTACGAAGAATTATAAATAGATAGTATTCGTCATGTTTTATTTGTGAGGGACGCTAATATATATTTGAAATGAAATCGTTTTCTGTCTGTTTATGCAGGCTGATCTCTGTAACCGCTAAACCCTTTTTATGGCATTCATTGCCTGGGTGTAGGATTTTTCAGATAGAAATTTAGGCAGTACCGTCTTTACCATAGGGGCACACGGAAATTCACGGGTTTTTTCTTATATTTCAGGTAAATATCACCCTATAAAAAAGATTAACCCGTAAATGAGACATAAGACACCAAGTGTACTCTCAGGAAAACTATAAAAAAACTTTAGTGACAAATCCACGTTTCTGGCAATTATACATCCCTGAATACAACAGACTATTTTACTTTCCAACAGGCCCCTAAATTCTTGTGTGCCCAACGGCCCCGGTATGGACTAAGACGGCGTTAAATTTAGACTACACTTTGTAGTCTGTATAATCTTATATCTGATGGAATACTAATAATGTTATGGATCGTATTCCAATGATATTAAATATTCGATTGATTTTAATTATTGGATCGAAGAGGGAACAGATGAGAATTAAATTTGTAAAGGCTCACGCACACCGGAAAGAATACTATTCATAGTAATATCTTTAGTGATCCTCACGGGCGATTTCTTGTAGCTTATAACCAAGCAAGAATAAAATGTATTGATGAAATTTAATTCAAAATTACAAATAATTATTCCTTTTTAACATTTAAGCACATTTATTTTAAGTAAAATTTTTCATTACGATACTATAAAATAATAGTTGAATGTTGACTAGACATGTTTATAATATAACTTTGGTATTTTTTATCACAACAATTTAGGATAAATCTAGTTATAATTACTTAAATTTGACGTTTTATTTGGCTTAAACTCTAACATTGCTAAAAATAATCTATTACTTATTTAACATTCACTGAATTGGCTTTAAATCAGCAAGAGCTTCTTTAACCAACTGTTCCAATTCCAAAGGTAAAACTGTCTTCGTAATAAATTTTTTATTATCTTCACTGCCATTTTCGTATTCTGCAAATTCCTTAGACTGGTTGTCTTCATTGTTTTTATTGAATTCCTCCTCACTATCAAGATATCTCATTTTTAATTCAGAATTATCTACTTGTTCGCTTGAGTTAATCTCTTTTGTTTCGTCAGATTTTAGAGAAAGTGTATCAGGTAAAAATTCTTCGAGAAGCATTTGTGACGGGAATATGGGTATACATTTTTGGCCGCTACACCAACTTTCCAAAGTTTTTTCTAACTCATTAATTCGGCTAGCTAAAATCCTGAACAATGAATTAGAAAAGTCATATAGTTAAATATTTGAAAAGCAACAATTTAATAAGGTAGAAACTACGAGCAGCTATCATACGAAAAAAAAAATTATGAAAAATACAAACTGATTTGTCTTTCTTTGGTGTTGTAAAGCTATAGATTTGTCATTTAATGCTTCAATCAAGCCTAAACATAATGATTTCAATTCTGCAGCTGAACTTCTTTTAAGTCCTGTTTTTGTGTTGATATTCAAATATTCTCTAACTGAAAAACAAGACAGTATATGTATAAAAGAACCGAAAAGATCGTATATATATAAAGAAGTTATACTTCTTTAGCGAAAAAAAAAAAAGAAAAATAACTAAAAATGTTATGCCGTTTGTGAAAAAGACATTAAATGCAATTGATAACGGTTTAATTAAATACTTGGACTATAAAAAGTTGTTATTGGTTGCCATGGTACGAATGGACGTGAAGGTCGCTTTGAACCAACTTCATCATGTCGCTTTTTGGCTGTCGGTTTGCGCGCGCATCGTAAAAATTTTACTGTTTTTACATATTTTTATTTCTAAACGCGCCAAAAGAAGTATAACTTCAAAAATATGAAGTAAATTCCTTATTATCAAATGCAAGTAATACTTACCTTGTTTTTGTGTCATGACATCAGCAAAGCCTTTTTTTAAATTTACATGATCACCATTTTCTCTGTTGTCAAGCAATGTCTGTAAAAAGAAAAATGTTTTAGTGTGTTTATTATTTAAAATTTTTAGAGCATGACTTTATTAAAACATACCTTGTATTTGGTAAGAGTTCTTTTAATGATTTCTTTTTCTACTTGCAACTGTGTTATTCTTTCATGCAGGTATTTGTTTTCCATGACTAAAGCATCTATGTCAACTATGGATTTATGCGGATTGGAATCTTTGTTTTCATTAGAGAGTATGTAACTTATATGGTGATTTAAGCGATTGACTTTGCTTTTATAGTAGTCACGGTCAGCAACAAGTTCCTCTTTTTCATCTAATGTTGTTCCATAATCTAACTGCAGTTGTTTATACTATACATAAACATCGAGAAAAGTTGTTAAGGTAGTTAGGATAAAAGTAATGGCAGAAATGAAGTATTATGAAAAGAATTGCATAAAAATCTTATTAACGGTACAAAAGCAGGTATAAACACACATCAAATCTTTTTAATACATTTTATAATTATTAACTGTCAAATCTTATCCGGCAAAGGGTTTGAGATCATATCCAATACACAAGGAGTGTTATTATGGTGAAGAGACACCTAAGCCGAGAAGAAATTGTCAGAATAGTGGAAATGTTGGAATTTGGTACATTGCCGATTACAGTACAAGAGTCGATAGCACATTGCCGAGTACGGCAATGTAATATCGACTCTTGTACTGTATTTTTATAGGCATAAAGCAGAAGTGTTACACTTCTGAGTTTCGTCTGGTGAGTGAGGTGGCCGGGCCCACTTTATTTAAAGGTTTTTACAAATGTCCATGGGCGGCGGTAATCCTTAACATCAGGTGTACGCCAGCTCGTTTGCCACTTTCTCACAACAACAAAAAAACCTTCGTGAATTAAAATTAAAAAAAAAATCTATTTTACGACGTAATCTTTATGTGAGAAGGTGGCAAGCGGGCTAGCGTGTCACCTGATGTTAGGCGAGAACAAGAACAAGAACCAAATGAACTTAATGACAGTAGTAGAATAAAAATAGCATAAGTGGGACTGAAAACTTATCAATCTACTATCAAGTGGATTGAAACAACCATAGCAGATTAACAATAGTGTAACATAAGAACACATTTTAGTGCAGCAGTTTAGATACGTAATATGGTTATTTTATTGACGTTAGATACTTTTGATGTGTGTTTGATTCTAGATTTAAGCCTTAATTACAATTTTTAATTTACTCAATTCTCTACTACATCAGATTAACTAACTTTATTTTGTATGCTTTCCAGGCTTTGTACTAACTGTTCATAATCTTTTTGAGGTGAACTCTGTGAAAGCTTTTTTATTTCATTATTTTTATTATCATTTAATGATTCTTTCTGTAATTGTTTTCTTAAAGCCAATATGTCACCATTTGCTTCTTCTAATTTATTTTGTAAAGTCTCAATCTACAAATAAAAACATTCAGAATAATTGTCATATATTAATTTTATAAAATTTCACCACAAATTTTTATATATACCTTATATCCTATTACAATTTATCACAAGTAACTAAATTATCATAATTCAAAGACAAAGCAAAAACTATGGTAAATAAACATAGGTTACCTAAACTAGGTCATCATTGATTTGAGGAAGAACATGCATTTTCAAAAGGTGATTTTGAGGGAACATTTAAATATTTATAATATTCGCAAGACTTCAATACTTACTTCCAAGGTATACTATCCAATCAATTTCAAGGAAACAAAAATTCTAATCCAAAAACTAAAACCTTATTAATTAGATATCATGTGAAGGAATCAGTGACACCGTTCATAAGCTATTCGCTACGGCTTCGGGGATCGTGGGTTTGATTCACTCATGGGAGAAGTTTTTATGTGACCCACAAATAATTGTTCCGGATATAGGTGTTTGTTTCCAAAGGAGAGATTATCAAATTTAATAAAGTGAGTAAAAATTCAACAGCAATGTGAAGTATGTAGGTTAAGTATTGGGCATGCTTACACTCACATTCAACTTACTAAATTAAGGATCAGGGATAATTCTCTATGTGCATGAGGGAACAACATACTTTTTAATGTCCAAATTTATCTTTCTAACTATAAATGATATGCTTCATTCCTATATTCTTCATTCTGTAAATTTCAATTCTCATTTAATCTAAACAATTATATTTATTATGTTTCCAGTGATTTTATTAACTAAAATAAACTTTAAGCTGTAATTGCTTGTCTTCACAAACCCCTAATTTGGATATACAACAGATGTGTCTTTTGTTTTAGGAGAGTGAACAGATACTCCTTAACACTTATATAAGGTTTAACTGGTTTAATAATTGATTTTGCTGTATGATTATTGACTCTGCTTTTGGCATATTCACAACCGAAGAAAAGAAAACCATGTCATGTCCCACAACAAAAAAATTGATAAATCCGTGGCATTTAAGGGCTGCTAATATATCTTCATTTTAAATACACCACAGTCTTTCGCTCTGTCTTTGAAATAACTGTATCAATTATAGACTTGAGGGATTTAAGCATGAAAAAGTAATTAGGTATAATGAAGTATAGTAAAGGAACAGTTTAACTACACTAATACAATTATGTATATATATTATAACCAAGTTATTTACTTTATTTGTTGATGATACTGGGCAATAAGTCAGAAGAAAGTAATATTGTTAGTATACCTTTACTTTTAATTCACAATTGTGGTCTCTGGTGGAAGTAAGTATTTCATTTGCACTTATGTCATTTGTTAGTGTAAACCTACAAATGTTATGGTTCATGCCCCCAGAAGATGGCTCCTTATGCTGTAATTGCTCAACTAACATTTTGTATTTGTCACGCTCCATGTTGCATTTGTCTAGTTCCATATTCATAATAGCTAAAGCATCAACCTTACTTTGTAGCTTGCTTTTGAGTACTGAGTTCTGGAGTAATAAAAATTGATTACTTCCTTATAATATGGTATGGCGAAAAGTAAGTTAATTTATTTTATCACACAGAAAAAAAAATATCATCACCCCCAAGGCGGTAACATGCTTATTTATTCAGATTCAAACATACCAAAAAATGTCTTATTGACTAAAGCAAACTTTACATATCACAGTTATGAAATTGCACCAGAAGTTCGTCGCTTTTGGATATTTAAGTAACTTGGAGAAAATTTGGCTACACCTGTAAACTCTGTTAGGGTTAAAAAATACAAGGGAATTTATTATTGTATACTGTTATACTGAATGTGCTAAGAAATATGAAACTGAATTATGGATTAGCTAAATGAGAAATATGTTAAATAATACATTAAAATATATAGTTTAGTTACCTCAAGCAAATAGTCATCGATTTGTTGATCCTGAAACTGCACTTTAGATTTAGTAAACATTTCGTTATAGTTTATCAAATTCAACTTTTATAAATAGGTTTACAAACTACAAGCATTCTTTATGCTTGATTAACCTGTACATACAGGTGTTTAAAAAGTATAATTTATGAAGTAATATAAATTATAAAATCACAAATGTACGATATTATGGTGATAGACCGTGAAATTACTTAGGGCTCTAGGGCAATTTTGTTTGACACTGACAGTCAGTATATTGGTCTATGCATGCTGACAGTAATCAACATTTGAATTGACAGCTTACGCATGGCAAAAAATATCGATACGTAAAAATATCAATATTTTTCCAAATAAATATCGATATATGGCGTCGACATTTTTATTACCGATATATCGATATTTGATATTAATTTTCGACTATCGAAATATTCGATAACTTTAAACGAAACTCTGGTTCTGGTTTGGTGCATAAAAAATACTAATTACTAATACTATTAAACCATCAGTACGAGATGTATATGACCCTGAAGTTAACAAACAATTAATAATTTTCGGATCTTTTTTCAACAAATAAAAAAAGTTACAAAAAAAAATTGCACAAGTAGAAATTTAAAAAACTCTTACTTCAATTTTTTACATATTTTCTTTTATAATTTATCGTTGAAAAGTTTCAAATATTATTAGACGTCGGCTAACTTCAGTATCATGAGAACAAATTGATCAACAAGGATGTCTTGGCTATCTGTCTATCTGCCCCAACGAAAATATCCCACTGGAAGTAACCTACCTACAAAAACAGTGGGATGTTCCTTTGGTGCGGAGAGTACAGAGAGATACGTCTCAATCTTTAGAAAGTAATTTAGAGTGTGCCCGTTTCCTAGGCGTCTCATCTAAAGAATCGAGAACGGTGGTAGAGCCACGCAGCAGTCTCGGCTGTTGCACGAATGGGCAGGCTCGTCCGGGTAAGTACCACGACCTCACAGAAGATCGGCGTAAAGTGAAAGTATGACAAATACTTTCGCGTTTCGTCTGGTGAGTGAGGTAGCCGGAGCCCAATTTCCAAAAAGGTTGTCAACGCATCTGCAAACCCTCGGGTGTAGCAGATGTCTATGGGCGGTGGTATTCACTTAACATCAGGTGAACCGTCTGCTCGTTTGGCAACATTTCACATAAAAAAAAAAAAAAAATCGAGTTATTGGCTTCACGCTTTACCACCAAGTAACTTGGGCACATTACTTGACGTTGAAAGCTTACGCATTGCTGTAGGAATCTGTCTGGGGGCACCGATTTGTCAACCACACCAATGCCCTTGTGGTGTCAGTGTAGACAAATTTGGTCTCCACGGGCTTTCTTGTCAAAAAAGTGCTGGCCGTTTTTCTCGCCACGGTTCCCTGAACGACATCATCCGTAGGGCTCTTGTTTCCATCAATGTGCCATCTATTTTAGAGCCCTGTGGCCTTTTTCGCGATGATGGTAAGAGACCCGACGGTTTAACATTGAACCCTTGGGAGAGAGGCAAAGCCCTTGTTTGGGACGCCACTTGTGAAGACACTTTGGATGCCTCTCATCTAAGGGGTACTTCGGTCATGGCCGAGGCGGCATCGGAGGCAGCTGATCGGTTTTTTTTCGACGGATTTTATGGCCCGGTAACAAGGAACTTAAGCTAACTTCACAATAACGATCACACGATAAGGCAGGGTTGTTCATTTAATTAACTATTCTTCTTGTATTCTTCGGAACACAAATCTAGAATTCATGTTCCATAGAATTTGCCAACGGCCATGTCTTTGACATGCTTAGCCCCCTTGGAACCCACTAGGATGCCTTCGAATCTCCACCAAAATCCTGAAATGATAAATATAGTGATTCTAAAGAATGTCTCATAAGCAATAACTACTGTACTATAGTCACTATATACTCACTATATGTGCAATATACACGCCGATGGTTACCCACTTACTTTCACACGGCAATATTCAAGCACACAGATAATTATGTACAACGCTTCTAAGTGGAAGTTCGTATTTAAAAATATCGATCATTCCAGCATTATCGAGCGTTGTATTCCTAGTGCTACAATAGCAATCAGCAAGGCGCTGATTATCAGTGGTGTAGCGACGTTGATTCGTGGGGGATTAGGGAGAGTGTCGTTGCACGCAACCAGAGTGGCTTCAGTAAGGCCATTTAGAGGAGCCCTCTCGGGCCGGCCTATTATGGATTCACCTTAGCCTCACCGTAGGAGACCAAGCCAAGTTTACTAAGGTCCTGATAAATAATACAAAACCTAGTAATTAGGTTTTATTAAGCAGAAAATATATACATACGTAAGAACAGTTGTGTCAGTAATAAGGAACATCCAAAAGAACAATTTTAAAAACAATGTTTACATTTATGGCGAATGGCCAGTATTATATCATTTACCCTATCGAGTAAAAGTAACAATCTTTTAAATATTCTGGCCGCTTAAGTAACAATCTTTTAAATATTCTACATTGTTCATTATCTTCTTCTCGTATATTTCCACTTGGCAGATCTATTTGATTATTATTTTCTTCAATTTCCATAGTATTTTCGATAAGCCCCGACGAATCTAGAGGCGCTAGATGTCTGTTAGATACCGTCTCTTCCCTTCCATCAGGTAAACGGACATATGAAAACTCAGGATTTGATTGTAATAGCTCTACCTCCTCGACTACAGGTGAATATTTTGAAGCTCGATTATGCTTTTTCATAAACACTGGCCCTGGCACCATCAACCACGATGGTAATGTTGCACCGTTTTCACATCTTCGATTATGCCTGAACATTCTTTCATGAGGTGTTACATTAGTAGCTGTACAAAGTAATGATCTAATCGAATTATTACTTAATGCATCGAATCGAATTATTATTTAATGCATTGACTGATCCAATACCCTCTCCCATTGGCTTATATCGTATTTTTTGTTTTTAAAGCCAATTGCATTGTCTTCCACAACGTGCCATTAAATCGTTCCACCTGCCCATTTCCTTGCGGGTTATACGATGTTGTTCGACTTGTAGCTATACCTTTACTTTGTAAAAAGATTTTTAAATCATGGGACATAAATGATGATCCTCTATCAGAATGTATGTATGAGGGTATGCCGAATATAGAAAATAAGTTTGTCAAACACTTAATAATACTCGATGTAGATGTGTCTTCACAGGGGTATGCGAACGGAAATCTTGAATATTCGTCTATAATAGTGAGTAGATACTGATTTTTTGAATTTGTGGGTAGGGGTCCTTTAAAATCTATGTTTAATCTTTCAAATACACTTGTAGCTTTTATTAATATTCCACGGCTGTTAGCAAAATTGAGGTTTTACTTCTGCACAGATTTTACAGCCACGTGTCATTTGTCGTATATTATCAATGCTGTATGGTAAGTTTTTAGATCGCACCCAATGAAACATTCGAGTGACTCCAGGATGACAAAGCGATTCATGTAAAGAAAATAGTTTAGGTTCTGTATGAACAGATGCACACATTCGAGATAGTGCATCCGCTGCAACATTTTCTTTCCCAGGTCGATATATAATGTCATATTTAAAACAAGAGAGCTCCAGGCGCCACCTCATAATCTTGTCATTTTTAATTTTACTATTATGCTTGGTGTTAAACATGAATGATAGCGATTTTTGATCAGTTATTAAACGAAATTCTCGTCCTATTAGAAAATGCCTCCACTTACGGACATATTCTACAATGGCATATGCTTCTTTTTCAATTGCAGAGTGTTTTCTTTCACACTCCGTGAGTGATCTTGAAAAGAAAGCAACAGGTCTCCCTTCCTGTGAAAGTGTCGCTCCGATTGCGAAATTTGATGCATCTGTTTCGACAGTGAATGGGATTTTGCTCTCAATGGCATGAACAGATGACTTAATTATTTCTTGTTTTAAACTTTCGAAAGCGTTTACTGCATCATTGTTCAATGGAAAATCATTGTTATTAATAATAATTCGAATCTTTTCGGAAAATTTCGGTATCCATTTAGAATAATGTGAAAACATTCCTACTGTCCTTCTTAACGAAGCAGCATCCGTTGGAATAGGCAAATTTTGTAGAGGTTTGATTCTTTCTAAATCTGGAGTGATCATTTTATTATTAATGTTATATCCAAGAATAGAAATATTTTTAATTGAAAATGTACATTTTTTCTCATTTATAGTAAGATTGTACTTTTTGACAGCAGACAAACTTCTCAAGATTATAGTCATGGTCTTCTTTATTCTTACCACATACGGTAACATCATCTAGATAGGCGAACGTAGATTGTAGATTTTCCGTTCGTATTATCCAGTCTATAGTTCTCTGAAAGCTACTTACACCATTAGTAACTCCAAATGGGATTCTACAAAATTGATATAAATTTCCGACTGCTTCAAAAGCAGTTAATGGTTTTTCCGTATCAAGGATCGGAATTTGGTGATACGCGCTTTTTAAGTCAATCTTTGAGAATAATTCGTACTTAGCAATATCTTGTACAATTGTCTCTATATTTGGCAATGGGTAAGCGTCCAAGTAAGTATATTTGTTGATAGTTTGTGAATAATCAATGCAAAGACGCTTTTTATGATTATCATTTTCTATTACAAGAACTTGAGCTCTCCATGGAGATCTGCTTTCTTCAATAATACCATTTAATAATAATTCCTGAATTTCATTAGCAATTAATTTTAAATCGTCTTTAGAAAAACGTCTAGATTTAGTGACTATAGGTTTACAGATCGACGATAAGTTAGGAAAAATTGATACTGGAGGAATCATAGGTGCGGTTACTCCGCAAATTTCAAGTTTTGCTCTTGGACCACCAAAATTTAATTGAACTTTGCAATGTTGAGTTAATACATCATGACCAATAATAATATCCGCACATAAATGTTTTACAATAAGTAATTTTATATTTTTATAAATGTGATTTCCTATGCTTATTGACGTAATACACAGGCCTTCTACATTCGATGTATAATTAGTCGTAGCCATTGTCACTTTCTCTGAACATTCTTCTTTTATTAGAC